AGATATAGCGTGTGAACAATAGAGACCTATTCAGTCAGTCTGGCGTTAACCCTCGCGAATGCAACCCACTGGGAGAAAGAGGGGGATTATGGGTGAAGCAAGGCAACCGTCAATCCAATCTTTCTACTTTGTCCAAAAGCAAATCATCTACAATACTGATTGCTACTGAATGCAACATAAAAAGGTTTTGAAACTGTGTTCATTATACTGATATACCACACTATACATGATCTCCTAAAGCAATTTTTTTTTTTTTAAACACACCTAAATGTATGTTTACGATAATATTTTTATCTGACAGTTTGATCCCGTCCTCAATCTAGTAAACACATAATCAGAAAAAAATTTGTTATATTACGTAAAACAAATAAAAAATGTAGATTTTGTACTTTAATGTGACTGTTAATACACCACATAAAATATTTCACATCAGGTCTGATGTCAGTGATTCTAAAAATCAAGTATTCTCGTGACTTTTAGGTGCCAAATTTCAATGCACATATTCAATTGAGAGAATAATCCTTTCCAGTAAAACACTGATCTACGTTATTACTATGTTATAACAGAACTGGAATATAGAATTTATTACTAAGAATTTAGTAACAGGCAAGTACTGTAAGATGAATTTGCTATTGAGCATTGAAAAGGGTTAAAAAGAAATGCTTTCAAATTATTTTTGAAAAAACTTAACCTAAACCTTATTTTAAGATGTTCTTGTTACTGTGTAACTATTAATTTAAATATTTATTAATTACATGTGTTTGAATGCAGGTTAGGTTTAGGGTTAGTTGCATGCAATTATGCATAATTATTTGCAATTACTATAGTAAACACACACCTTAAAACAAAGTGTTACCATCAATTTTTTAATGTAAGGTTTTCTCACACTTCCAAGTTTATAAACAACAGTTCGGACAATTTTGCCTCACGACTTATATCTAAAACCTGTTTATTTCTCTCACTTTGGAGATTTTGCCTCAAAATTCTGACTTTTTTTCAACCAGACTACTAATATATCTTCTGATTTGTGAATAAAAGTCAGAAATGTGATATAAAAGTTACAAATCAGTTACTTTTTGTATATGCCTGTATATCTTGTAGCAAACACCATATCCATATGTATATATAACATAAGTGCTACCGACAGTTTTCTTAATGAAATGTTTTTCTCACATTTCAAGTTTCCTCTCATAAATTATATCTAAAACCAGGGGTGGACTTGACCAATAAGTGAGGTAAGCAGCTGCTTAGGGCCCCTGGGAATTAGGGGGCCACAACCAATGCCAAGAAGCCAACATTAATCAGCTCTTTTACAACTCATATGTTGTCAAATCTGTCTAAAACCATTAGGATATTAACATTATTACTTTTCAAAATCAGAGGCCCCCATAAATAGTGGACCGCTCCTTCTGACACTGCACATGTGCAAGTTGTGAGTAGTTCAAAGACACTCTCAGTCTGCCAGCGATCAGAGTAGAGCTGAGGTAGAGGCAGGTGGAGTGTGCAACGGCGAGAATTTTGAGAAAATTTAAGGAAAAAAAAATAGAAATTAGACAAACTACGGCTGGGCAATTTATGGCAAAAATACAATCTCGATAATTATTTTCCATATTGAATGATAATTATATATATTTTACTATTAGTTGTTAATGCTTATGATTTAAAAGTGTACATTAACAAAGACTGAAGCCACAAAAATTAGAGGGTCAATTAAATGCCATATTTTCGACATTTACATTTTTCTTTGGTCGCTAATATCGACACACTTTTAGAATCCCATTGTTGCACATTTCTGCAGTGTGACTGTCTCTAAGATCAATATAGAGTAAAAAAAAAAGTCAAGAGCTTATCATCGTTATTGACATACATTTTATCACGATTCGATATACTATTGTCAATCGGCCCAGCCCTAAGACAAACAATGAAACGCAGCTACCTCCTGATCCTGCTTTCTGGCCGAAATACCTTTCAAATGATGAGCACTGTGAGCTTGTTAAGAGAGGGTCTGTTCAAATAAAATAACATTTCCCAGTAAATGTTAAAAGCTGTCAGTTCACAAACAGCAATCATTCAGTTCACATGAAAATAGTGACAAGATTAGTTTGATTAATTGTGAACTAAATTTGTCTAAATGTTTGATCACACTTTATTTTGATGGTCCATTAAGTTACATTGCATCTACAAGCCAACTAATTCTCATTAGATTATAAGTAGACTGTTAGGTTGAGGTTAGGGTTAGCGTAAGTTGACATGTATGTGCAAAGTTTCTAATAGTCAGTGTGTAAATATCTGTTGAAGGAGCAGCATCAGCAGATATTAAGCAGACAGTCTACTAATACTCAAATAGACCATCAAAATAAAGTGTTACCAAAGGTTTATTTTATTTATATTAAAAAAACTAATCACAAAAATGGTTAATTAACTGTTCATAGTTTGCTAATTTGTTTTTAGAATTTTGTAAATTAATTTCATTTAGTTTTACTTTAAGAAGATAACATAATAATGTTTCTTTGAATATTAAAATATATAAAATATACCTTAAATATGTTTAATATATTTATGTAAAAACTTTTTAACATACAGTTTATTTACAAAAAAACAAAACAAAACTAATCTACTAATGCTAGGGCCTCATAGCTGGAATTGTTTAGGGCCTCTAAATCACTAAGTCCGCCCCTGTCTAACACCTGTGAGTTTATCTTTCTTGCTTTGGAAGTTTTACCTCACAATTCTGACATATTTTTTTTCCATACAAAATCTGAATTATGAATAAAAGTCAGAATTGTGATATAAAAGTTACAAATCAGGCGTCACGGTGGCGCAGTGGCAAGCACAATCGCCTCACAGCAAGAAGGTCCGAGGTCAGTTGTTTGCATGTTCTTCCCATGTGTGGGTTTCTTCCGGGTGTTCCGGTTTCCCCCACAAATCCAAAGACATGCGCTATAGGTGTATTGGGTAAGCTTAATTGTCTGTAGTGCAAGCGTGTGAATGAGAGTGTATGGGTGTTTCCCAGTGATGGGTTGCAGCTGGAAGGGCATCCGCTGCTTGAAACGTGCTGGATAAGTTGGCGGTTCATCTCGCTGTGGCGACCCCAGATTAATAAAGGGACTAAGCCGAAAATAAGGTACAAATCAGCAACTTTTTGTATACGCCTTATACCCTGTGGCAAACACAATATCCATACAGTATGTGGCCCACCACAAATAGAGGACTAAAATCCCCCAAATTAGTGACCTGTATCAATATCCCTAGTCCTCTGTCTCTCTTCTCGAATGTCAGAGTGATTGACTGCTGTGCTGTTTGAGAGCAGGATTACAGAACGCAAGGCATCTGCTGCAGAAAGAAGATCGATCACAGTTTTTTCCTCTAGTCAGCCATTCAGACATTGATGTAACCATGAAAACACTGCATATGCATATAATGAATTCATATAATCGCTGATTAGAGTCAAAGCAATATTATCAAATCATGCACAATCCAACATCTGAATTCATATGCTTTTTCCGGCTCTTTCCACCACCCACTGAGCATCTGAGCTAAATAGGTTGATTCAAAACCCTGTCACAAAAACATCAACACTATACACACACACACACACACACACAAATGCATGCAACACAACACAAGTGATACTTACCGTGCTGCTTCCCTGCGGCATGCACATGCTTCTGACATGCTTTCCTTCCTCATTTCTTGCTCTGGCAACTTCCCAGGTGCATCTAGAGCTGCTGCTGCTGCTGCTGGAGCCACATTTACTGTGGTGTCACACACACATCTGCAGTGCAGGAATTAGATCTAGTGCTTCACACACAAACACACACACACTCTCTCTCATGCACACACTGCCCTCTTTCTCTCTCCATCTCCATCTAGCCAAGGTCAGAGGAAGGAGCTACCAGGCACATGCTGACTCCTCCTTTACACACACACGATTTAAAACAAGTAACATTGTCTTTTAGCACACACACATATACACATTAGATGATTGGCATATTCCAGATTCATTATTCAGCATTGCGGTGGATCTGCTGGTGGTTAATGGTGGAGTGTTATTGAAAGCAGCCCTTAATCTAATCTGATTTCCCCCGGCACGGAGACTTCTTAACGGGATTAAAGAGCGTTCGTGAAGGGAGGGTGGGGGAATGACGGAGACATCTTACCTTAAACTGTAACACTTCTGAATACTTAAGCTTTGCACCTGCTGAGTACAAAATGAGTGTAATCCCAACAAACACACAACGTTGCCTCAACGTAGCGACCTTCCTACAACGTTGTACCAACATTGCAAAAAGGTTGAGGATTCTACGTTGTTTCTAAAGGTTGTCACAACGATGTCATAAGGTTGCCATTTAAACATCATGAGGGTCGCATGCTTTAGGTTGTGCTTAGGTGGCGTGGACGACCACTGTACAACATTTACTGGTCACAGCTGAATCAGTTTAAATTTCAACAAGCCGTCGTCTCATTCATCAACGACCGAGGAGACGTGAGTATTGCTTTATTTCTTCATGCTAAATAAGATACGTAAATCGTGAATATTCAAACAAACCTATGATTTCGACAACAATCTGTTCCAACATTACACACACACAAAAGCCGTAATGAAGTTATTACGAGCGAGTAACATTTCGGCATTCCGTTAACGGACGGCAACAACATTAAAATCATTATGTTAAATCTCTCGATAAAACATTTCCTGATTATTTACCTACGCCTTGTCTTTAGTCAAATGGACAATAATGTTTTTGAAGTTCAGTTTTTTCCATATCCATCGTGATCAGTTAGTATGATACTTCATCACACAAGCCGACCCACTTTTTACAAAACACAAAATAACTTTTAAAAACAAAACATCTCTGTGCAGATTGCGTCCCGTTAAAGGAACAGTTCACTCAAAAATGATATGTACTCACGAATTATTTGCCCTGTAAATAATAAGTGATTCCAAACCTTTAAGTTTCTTTATTCTGTTGAACATTAAAGACTGTAAGCATTTGCTTTCATGGTAGGAAAACACTATGGAATTAAATAGTTACAGTTTTCCAGCTTTATTTAATACATCTTCTTTATTGTTTAGCAGAAAAAAAGCTAAATAAGTTTGGAACAAATAAAGAATGAGGCTAAAATGGCAGAATTGTCAGTTTTGGGTGAGCTATCCCTATAAGTTAAAGTATATAAATTGAGGTTCATATGCCTAATTAATATAGATAGTAATTAAAAGGTCTGCTAGTCTAAATTTCTATTTTGATTGGTCTTTTGATGTTTTATTTAAAACCCACTCTTTTCTTTGCTCAACAGGCTATTTTTACATGGAGGTAATCTTCTATTGATAATTTCTGGATTTTAATTATCCGTAAGTTGCATGAAACTATTGTTTAATCACTCACTGTTGTTTTCAAATTACTTATGTAACTTGTCTTTCAGAATGTTTTCAGCTGTTGAATTCACCTCAGATCAGTGTTGCTGTAATTCCTGATGGAAAGAAGAATTGGATGAGGTAAGAAGTATACTATTCTATTTACTATTAAATGTAGTTATGTTACCTAAAACAGCATGTCCATAATGTGGAAAATAGATCATGCTTATGAAAAATTACTTTATTATTTTGTACAGCTGTTATTGAAATGACACTAAGTTTAACATTTCATTAACAGCGAGCAACGCCACAACTACAGGACCTCTTCTTTCTCTTCTCATAATTTACAGTAAGTAAGTATTCGGAGACTAACTCTGACTTCTGTTAACTCAAACCTGTTTTCCCTGTATCTCTAAATTTATTTAATTGTTTGTAATTTTGGTATATGATATATTATTAAAACATTAAAATAAAGTAGGCTACATAATTACTCTGGAGATTTTATATGTAATGAAATTACAATAAATGTCGGAAACTTCAATAACTTGCTAGTCATAGTCATTTCCTGTGTAGTGCTGTTGTGTCAAGCTCTGATCTGTCCTCTCTTGTTCACTGCCTATTTTGACTTTTGTCTGCTGTGGATCTCTGAAGCTGGATTATCCGTTGAATTTGTTTCTTCCTCTGACTGCTTTCTCCATACCAACAACTACGACTGGTCTTCAGCTGCGCTCCCCGGTCTGCTGTATTCTCCAGTCCAGAGCTTCACTGACCAGTGTTTGAATTTTAATTTATATATTTATTTATATATTTATTTACATTTTAATGATTTCTTGTTTACTTTTCTTGTTTGTTTACCCTTTAGTTTAAATATATATATATATATATATATATATATATATATATATATATATATATATATATATATATATATATATATATATAATCTAAACTTTATTTTATACTGTTTGCTTATAATTAGATACTGTATGTGTACTGTATGTATTAAATGTTGTGAAATATATAATAAAAAGTTTGATTATATTCATTTGTGTGGCATTTTTACACTTTAAAGTTTACACATGCAGTTTTTAAATTAAATAGGAAAAATAAATGAACAATATTTCATATTAAGCAATACTGGAAAAGAATTGCTGCTTATCCTGTATTCTAGGCAGTAATGATAAACTGCCACAAAAAAATATTAATACAAGTAGTAAGAACGCCGCCTCGCGGTTGCTGAATGTCGCACGACAACGTTGCTACAGCCTTCTCACGTCTTACATTTCTACGTTGTGACAATGTAGCGAGCACGTAAGCGGCAACGTTGCCTTTGAAAAAATACAACGTTGTGCAGACATCGCTACAACGTAAATGTGTTTGTTGGGATGTCTCCCTCGTGTGGTTGTTGTTGAGTTTTGGATTTTAACATCATATTTATTGAAAGAAAACGTATATATTGGTGTTCGTTGGTATGCTAACTGAGGGCTAACGTTATCCCCGAATATACTACTCTGTTTATGAAATTATGGAAGATAATGCTCTCTTATTTGTTTGTTTGTGAATGAAAGTGTTAGTAAAACTAACTGTAATAACAAAACGTAACTGTAATATACACACAACACTGAAGGAAACATGACGACGTCGAGAAAAAAACTTGTCGCGGGTTGCTAACGTTAGCTTTCGAGTTCGTTTCGTTAATATTAAATGAACAGTTCAGCCAAAACTGAAAAATCATATCATCATTAATGAGTAAATTTACTCACATTTTAACTCACTTGTTCCAAACCAGAGTTTCTTTTCTCTGTTTAACACAAAAGAAGATATTTTGAAGAAAGCTGGAAACCTGAACCCATTGACTTCCATTGTATTTGTTAACAAATTTGATATGGAAATTAATATGGTTCAAGTATAGCTTTCTTCAAAATATCTCAAATTGAAGACGTTTTTAACGTTCGGAACCAGAAATAGTAAGTAAATTTTCACTTTTGGGTGAACTATCATTTTAATTAAAAACATTTAGAAAATAGATGAATAATATTTAATCGTAATATTAAATATTTAAATTCAGCTGAAATAAAACAAGAAAATCAAAAAGAAAACACACCGACAAACAAATAACCCCCTGCTGAAGTAGGCTACTTACTTTGTGCAGAAATCTTACACTACTCATATGGTACTATATGCCTATTACTGTTGTAACTAAATGGCAATATATTACAGTATTTTCAACCCTTTGTTAATGAATGTTACAGTATTAACTTAGTGATGAACTGTAAAAAATCTCGAAGTACAGTTTTTTTTACTACAGTAAACTATGGTGTATTGTAGCATAATACACACTATACTTTTAGAAAACTACAGTATTGGGTTTGTTTATATTACCATTACTGTAGTGTTACCACATCAACTACAGAATTACTACTACTGATTAATTCAAGTATATTACTATAATATGGTTCAGAAACACTATTTAATATATATTTCTATAGTATTTTTTCCTGTATAGAAAAATTTACAAAAAAAATATATTGACATTGTAAACAGTTATAAAACAAGTTGCCTACAAAGATTTATCAAATAAATGCTAAGTAATGAGATTGTGTCCTCTTCTAATACTAGTCTCCCACTATCTAGCCATATCTTGGTTTTGGTGAGTTTTGCGATGTCATTGCAAGAAGAAATATGTCAACACAGGAACAAAGATTTGACAATATATATATTCTTTAATTGTTATAAATAATGAAGAACGTATCACAGGCAGCATTGAAATTCTTAAAAAAATGGATCCAGCTTTAATATGAGTTCATGTTTTGTTAGAAAAGTGCAATTGTCCTTCATCTCTGTTTGGTGAACTTCAGGCATCTTGCTGAAATGGTGGAAGAAAGCAAAACACAAAGTTGTGAAACTCTAGGAAAGCGAACTATTTAGTTTGACAGATTAAAAAATTATTCATACCCCTGGCAAATTCTGACTTGAAGTTAATTTTAATCAATAAGCAAGTTTTTTTAATGACTGAATAATTTTAGGCTTGACTGTATAGTACAGTAGGTAGATGTTTACCAATAATGCTCGTCCTCTGGTCTCAATGGGCAGGAAAAAAACTCCTATGGCACAAATGATGCACGCTGTGGCGAACGGTGATAAAGCCAGAATCACAGATTTGGACATCAACACCTAGAACACGAAACATAACCTTAGAAGAAATCAGAATGTGTAACTGCTTTGCTGCCAATCTTCAAAAACCTATATTTATAATGTGTGATCCAAATGCAATAAATAATTTATTTAAACCTTTAGAATATTTTTTAACAATGGCATCATCACTGCTCAAAATTATGAAAATGTTTATTTACATTTATTTTCAAGACACCATCACTTTAATGTAAATCGGGCCTACAGTATATGACATGAATGAGATTCTGATTGAGAATATTCAGATCCTTTATAGGCCTATTGTTTGTTAATCCTTTAAATGAGGTAATTAAACTAAACTGACAATGAACACTTCTTGTTAAGCATTATTATTCATTGGTGATGTTAATATTTAATGTTTTTAAAGATTTAAAACATTAACTGACTTTAAAGATATTGTAACTAATAAAGTTCATTGGTGTTTTTAAACATTTTTTACTAAATAAATTAAGTAAAATAATTGTGCTGTTCCTCATCGTTAACATATTGTTAATGAGACCTTGCTGTACAGTAAATTGATACCTATTCATTAAAATATTTGTATTAGTTTACACTCAACATGCACAAACAAAGTCATGCACAAAAACCTTCAGTTCTTTTAGTTATTATACCTCTTATAAGGTATAATTCACACACAAAAATCTACTCACTTATTTTCCCACCACATGGATCCAAATCTTTATGAATACAAAAGAAGATACTTTGAAAAATGTTGAAAACTACTGGTAACCATCAGTCATCAATAGCAGAATAAACAAATACTAACTCAACGTCTACCGGTCTCCAAAACCTTACTAATCATCTTCTTGTGTTTAAAAATAGAAAAATAAAATCCAATTGTTTTGGAAGAAGTGAAGGTTGAGTAGTGTAAATGATCACAGAATGTTCAGCTTTGGGTAACCCTTATGCTATGATCATGATAATACTGCATATCTTGAATAATAATAAAATAAAGTTTCAGCAATTATTGCAACCAATGATCTTTTACCTGCTTTTAATATACACTTTAATATAGAATATACCTTTCTCTAAGCATCTAAAAACAGTTTAATCAAAATCTAAAAACTCTACAGGGTTCATACACATTTTTACAGCTAAAATTCCACAAATTAAGTAAACTTTTATGACCTAATGTTTCATGTAATGTCTACGTGTATGTAGTAAATAATAAGAAAAACTATACACGTTCAAATTTAAGACAGCATATAATTAAATATGCAACAATCTATTTAGATTAAATGTATTTTTGCAACTATGTAAAACTAATTTAGATAATGCTTACACAGCACTAATAATGTGAGAGCATGTTTTCGGACAGAAAAAAAGTAAAGAAAACTAAACTATATATTCAAGAATAGAGATATTTGTTAAACTAAACTTTCCAAAATTTGGTGAGTTTTTTTGTTTTTCCTAAATTTTTGCCAGGCCTGCAAATTGCCAAGTCAAAATTCCATGACCGGATGAACCCTGGCTCTAAAAAAGTCAAAACACATAGAGCACCTGTGCAATAAAAGGTGCGATCATTCCTCCGATTCGACTGAACGATGTGCAAAAGCCCATTCCGATTGAGCGCACAGATGTAGGATAAACCTGCAAACACACACGCCAATGATAAACAGTTTAAATTTGGTGGCAAACTCTTCTTTAAAGGCACAGAGATTGAATGGAGTGTTCATTTATCAGCTCTCACCTCTGCCGTGTAGATGTAAACCACATTAAAATTCATTGAAACCACAGAGCGGAGGAGGAAGAGCAGGATTGTGAAGCCTAACCTGCACACATTATTCACTTTATTAGCACTTTTAACATATGAACTGCGAGTAAAAGGCCATGTGGAAATTACATTAAACACCTAGACATTATAAACAGTGAGTATTTGTATTGTAAACAGTGAAAATTGATATGTGTGGTATTTTAATTATTACTTTAGCAAGAATATTAATAGCTGTAAATGTTATGTGAATGTAGGTTAAAGCTGATACTAATTATAATGAAATATTAGCTGCATACACTTTATTAACATATAGTAGTAAATAAATATTTTAACCAGTGAAAATCTGTTGTTATTTTAATATTATTAATATTACATTAGTAACATATATTTATAGTTGTTATTAATCCTTTAGTTTTTTTATATAGTTTTTTTTTCGTGACAAATTTAATTAATAATTTAATCTTTATTTGTTTAAATATTTGTGTCCATATAGTTTATAATAAATTTTAGGTTTTACACAAATTCAAATTTTTTTAAATAATTTTTTATTATATTTTGTTTTTATTTCTTCTTCTAAATAAAATTGCCTTGCCTAAATTAAAAATAAATAATATTTTAACCATATTTTATTTTTAGAATTTCTTTAAAATATGAGAAATTACTTTTTTTAATTATTTGTTTTATTTTATAACAAATATTTAATATAATATATTTTTATTTAATTTCATTTATCATTTATTCATGTTATTTATTGCATTTATCATTATTACAATATTATTGGATTCATTAAGAGGTTTCTTTATTCAGTTATTTGTATTTTTAGTAATGTTATCTTTCTCATTTCACTTCAACTAATTAAACATTACATTTTCAGTTAAAGATAATTTTATTATTATTATTATTATTATTATTATTATTTATTTATTTATTTATATTTTTAGCTTTGTACCTAACAATAATAATTTCAAAAAGATTAAAAACAAAAAATACAGCATACTCATATCCAATGTTGGGGGTAATGCATTACAAGTAATGCGAGTTAGGAAATAATATTATTTTTCTAATTGCATTACTTTAAAAAATTAAATACTATTTGAGTTACTTTTTAGCTGAATTAATTTACTTTTAAAAAATAAATTGCTGAATTAAAATTTGTGTAAACAAGTTGAATCACACTCAATGAGAGAATGAGCACCCCGAGGAAACAGGCAGAAACCAAGATGGCAGAGCCTTACATTTCTGTGATGGAAGTATTCTCGTTTTTTTTTTAACACATGGAAGAAAAGAGGATAGTCTGAATGGACAATTTACTGAACTAACAAGGCAAAAAGTAACTTTCAATTGTAATTAATCTGTATATATGGCATGTATAGGGTCAGGAAGTTCTCAAAAGATAACATTATTCTAATCCTTTTTTTTATTAGTTTTTTTTAAGGTAAATGAAGATGTAGGTTATTAAGTGCATTATTAAATGCAGAGCTCCTCTGATAAAAAAAAAAAAAAGAAAAATACCCTGTTCTAAAAAGTTCTCAAGCTCTGAAAGCAATAAAGCCTAAGGCAGGTATAAAAAAGTAACTCAAAAGTATCGTAACGCATTACTTTCCATAAAAAGTAACAAAGTAACACAACTAGTTACTTTTTTGGGGAGTAACTTATAATTTTAATGCATTGCTTTTAAAAGTAACTATCCCCAACACTGCTCATATTCAAAATGACTTAAAACAATAACAATTTCAGTAATCAAGAAAGCAGCATACTCACATAGTCGTGCAAATATTAACAAGCATGAAGAAAAAGGCCGACAGCAGCAGCAGAATGACCATGCTGTACTTCCGTCCTACTATATTCAACAGGATGATATTAAGAGGAATGACTGCAGACAAAACACACAAACAAACATCAGCATTTAGCATTCAAACCAAGCAGAATAATTAAAGTGAGCAAGATTTCAAAGGTTACTGACGTGCCACCTCCCCTAAACAGCTAATGAGGAGCGTTTGGTAATCGTCCGAGTTGAAGGGGATGCAGTAACACAGCGTCTCCTCCTGGATGTGTTTAATCTGATGCTCCAGATCAGGATCCGTCACGCACAGAAGATTCTTCTCCAGTAACTCAGAGCTGCTCAGGACGGAGCCGTAATAAGAAAACGAGGCCACAAACCTGACGGATGAACAATGCAGAACATCACACATGATCTGGCACACAGAAACACACACATAATAGACAAAAGAGGAGAAGTGTGGTAGACTTTACCATGAATACCACAGCAGGAGCGATGTTCTCCTGAAGGCCGAGCTGATCAGGGTGACGGCATTTCCTCTTTCTGTCTGGATATGAACACACTTCTGTCAGTTCAGGCTGTTTACACTCAAGGAAATGCTTTAAATAGCATGTGTGCAGCAATATTTAAAGTTCCAGTACACCTAAATATGAATATCCAAAGTTAATTATCAGCTCATTTAAATTTGTGTGTGAACTCACCCTTTTAAAGAGAATAAATGTTTATTTTTTCATTATTTTTCATTTATATTTTTGGATAAATGCTTAATTTCATATACAATGATTTCCAATATACTATTATATCAATAACACAGCATATAATATACACACACACTGACATAATATACACACACTTTAAAAATATTTTATCTGAGACGTATCATTGACTAATTAATTTGTTTTGATGGAAATATTCAGTTTTGGCTTTTAAACAGTTAATATTTTACCCGTTTATTTATTTATTTTAGGAGATTAATACTGGTTTGCTCCGATTTGATAATAATTTTTAGTTTGACTTTTTAGTTTTTAATATCCCTGCATCTTCAATATATAAAAGTGCACATATTACTCCAGAGAAGACGATTAATTATAATAAAATAGATAAATTTTTTACATTTTATTTGGGCATAGGGGGTGATTTTAAATGCTTGTAGAAAAATAATAAAAATAGAAATTTCAATACAAATACAAAACAATTACAGTTACACCTGAAATATGTGCGTTGGGTTCATTTAGTGTAAGTTTGTCATTACCAGGTTATCAAACTAAAATGACTGACATGTGTCTTGTTATTACAAGGTGTTTGATAGCAGTCTATTAGTAGAACATAGAAAGTCCATCCATTGACCACCGGCTGAAAGATTTGACACATTGCATTCCACTGGAAAGAATCGCCTACAGTATAAAGGGAAAACTAAAGGAGTATCATAAAATTTGGGATCCGTTTATACCATTTTTGGAACAAAATCATACAATGGCACAAGCAAGTACCTCTCAGGCTACTGGTTAATTGACTAATATGTATATGTGTATTTTTGTATGTGGAATATATGTTTTTCTTTGCCTTAGCCCATGGATAACAATACATTTACCTGCTCAACTGAATTTGGAGGGAGGGGGAAAGAGTTAAAATGTAAAAAAACAAAAAAACAAGTGTAATTTCATGTTAAATTTCAAGTGTTTTTTCTACAATATTTTTTTAATAAGTAAATAAAAAACAATGCTATTAGAGAACTTAATAAATAAATAAATAAAGAAATAAATAACTGTGATTAAAATGAAATGATCAAATATGTGATTATAATATTTAAAATTTTTAAGCATAAATAAATAAAAATTAGATCAAAATTAATAATAATATTTAATTTGTAAAATAAATGTTAGTATCCAGAATAAACCAGAGTATGAACTGAGTCTTTATACAACAAACTATTTAGAAGACTTTTAACGCATAATATGTGGGTTCATCTAATAGACAAAACTTGGAGCTGTTTAGGTCTCTTCTCCTACACACCACTTCAGGTTCGCGTAGTTCTCCCTCTGGTAAAACACCATTATTCATTTTGGCGATCCGCTTAAGTGTAGACATGGCTCCTTGTATGTTACCTGCCGAGACCTGGAACCGTGCGGATTCGGGTATAAACTGAGAGGAAGGAAAACATGCGAGTGAAAAAACAGCTTCCTTCATCAAGAATGTACCATGTTTAGAATAAAACTAACCATGAAGAGTCCGATTAATACGAGGCTGGGGATGACGGAAAACCGAATCATCCAGCGCCAGCCCATCGTGGGCACCACAGTCATACCCAGAACGATAATTAATATGGATCCCATCATCCAGAAGATCTGACAGACAATAAAAGTAAGGTTAATGCCTGAGTTTTTTCTTTTTTTTTGGAGGTCAAATGTAACTTTTCTTATGCACTCACTGAGGCAAGAGGCAACAGGTATGCTCTGTATTTGGCCGGGATGAATTCAGTCTTCAAAACAAACCTTAAGAAAGAAAACATGAGACAGAACAGAACGTTTATTTCAAGCATAGTGGGGAAAAAAATCATTGAATTTACTAGACTTTCAAATGATGTTTAAAATGGAGACCTATTATTTAAAAAATTACTCTAAAAAAACTATTTGCTCCAAAACGTGCAAAATAGTATAATTATGAAATATTTTTTATTAAAGCATATATATATATATATATATATATATGTGTGTGTGTGTATATATATATATATATATATATATATATATATATATATATATATATATATATATATATATATATATATATATTACATTCTATGTTGATGTCAGCATTACATTAAACTCACAAAAGTGCCTTTAAATATAGTACATAGAAAAAAATGCAATTAAAAAAAGTCCTAAAAAGATTCTTTAAAAAGATTCAAGTTACTTTTGAGAGAAAAAAAAGTAAAAATTTGTGTCATTCTGTGTAAAGATATTTATGAAAGAAAAAAAACAACATACTTATTTTTAATTTATAGTTATTAAAATAGTTCAAAGAATATGTGATCAATTTAATTGTTTATATTTAAAACTTTTACTGAAAAATGGTTAAAACCTAGTGATTTACCGTTTAATACCAGAAAACCCATTGTCATCTTTGAAACATAAACATTTATAAATTTACAATCATTTATAAACTGTATGGAAAGCATGAGCAAAATACTGTGCATTTGCGAAATCCCACCCTTGAGATGTTGCTGCCACTCCGCAGCCCACCATACATCTCAGAAAGATGAACCAGCCGTATGATGTAGAGAACGAAGTGAGAAAAGAAAAATATGACGCCCATACAAAACCACCAAACACCACCTGTGGACACAAACATTTTAATTGGACACAACACATTTTATTGGATCTAATTACACTAAACATCACACTCAAAGATACATATATACAGGCGCACACCCCTCAAAAATCTCTCTTTTAAATTAACATTTACTATAGAAAGCTTTACAATATTATATTTGTGCAAATGCATTAAATTAGTCAGTACTGAAGCCAAATCTGGAGCTAATCTAACAGAATAACTTACAAAAACAGTTCAAAAATTTGTAGTAGCCCAAATCTTTCTTATGTAAAAATATTTACCTTTTTTTTTTTAACCTTTTAATAAAAAGAAGAAAAACAAATCAAGAAAAACAAAAAAATATATAATTTTGTTGCCAATTTGTAGTTTATTTTGCAATATTTTGCATAAATTTAAATGTATTATCTTTTCATTTCTAAAGATGTTCCGCAACTAAAATATCCCTTTAATAATTATGTCAGTTTAATAAATCTGTTTTGTTTAAACACACCAAAATATATGATCTTCATTCACTGAGAAACAGATAAAGATATTCATTTTTTAAATGGGGTGTACTCAATTATGCTGAGCACTGTACGCTAAATATGTATGAACTTGTTCTTTGTCTACTAATACAAAATAAATAAAAAAAAGATTCATTAATGTTTAATACAAACTATTGCTTTTGTGCTGGATAAATGTTAGTTGCCCTTCCAATAGACTATAGTTAAATAAACGTAATAACTCAACATAATTGGCTCTTGAAAAAGCTCACATATGTTATAAGAAAGAAACCTTTGATTGTTGCCATATCTGGGAGCTGTTTATGTACTTTGTGATGGAAATTTTGAAGAAGCTTTAGAAACGTAAAGCTGTGGAATGTGTAAATTGGAGTTTGATGTGATTTTTATTATACGTTTTGGGTAATGGGGTTTGATTTACTGTAAAACTTAATAAAAACATGTTATACTAAAATCGAAAGAAATGTCATCTCACCTTCCAGCGTCCGTATTTGTCAGCAATGTAACCACAGAGGACCCCACAAACCATGAAACCAAAAAACACCATCTAAAACAAAACACACACACACCAATAGAATAAGTCTCATGTACCGTCTCCTGAATTAAAAACCATTACTGAACCTGAAACGAGTGAGAGGAAGCCTTTAAATGAAAATAAACACCTATATATAATCAATATTGATAGTTAAATCTATAAACCCCAATAAATAAATCATTGCAACCCACAATAGAAGTTAAAACATGTGTTCTCCATTTGTGCAGTTTGTTAGCTTTAAATGAAATATAATGCATGTGCATCATGTTTCTGTACAAAGTGACATCGCCATGTCCTGGCATGAATAATTTCAGTGGTTATCATGGACCTGTGTTATCTTTTTGCAGCCTCAGAACTGATGAGAAAAGAGCCGATGCTTCAATTTATATCTTATATAGTATTTTTCTATCTTGGTTGGAGGTAAAACCTAACAAAAAACAATTAGGAACTGTTAAAATAGCACAGCAGAAAGCACTTAAACTGACTACTTCTGCATTTGATAGCACCTCACAGCAAACTTCACTTAGATTGCACATTAATCTAGGACAGAAGGAAGTAGATTAGTAGGTTTATCCATAAATAAACGGCATCACTTCTAAAAAGATACAATAGATAAACCAGAATGTTTAGATAAGCACAAAAGCAAAACATGTACATCTTGTATTGCGACATTCCTGTCAAAACTTCACGAAATACAGGGCTCTGATTGGACGAGCTCCTCACCGTGGAGACAAGGGCCACTTGCCAATCCTCCAGATGCCATTCGCAGCGGATCTCAGGAGAAACCACAGCCAACAACATGATCTCCATCGCTTCCACTATCTACACACACCAGCAATGAAAAATGTAAACAGCAAGTACACTAATTGCAGGTTAATGAATTACAGAAACGCATGCAGTTGTCTTACATTGGCACTGCCCATGATGACAAAAAGCAGAATATGGAAACATCCGAAACCAATGCTCTCCACAGCCTCCTCCACGGTGTAGCATTTCGGCTCTGTATGGGTTAAAGATTGAAAAGAATAAACGACTGGCTGCAGGTAGTTAATAGGCTGGTTTGCGCATGTTGTTTTCTCACCTTTGACCTGAGCAGGTTCAACAGGATTGTTATTGTTGCTTGTGGTGGTGATCTCTTCCTCCATCTCCACTTCTTCGAGCTGGATGGCATCCACTAGCTGGGTCTTCATGGAAGACGATCGCTTTAATGCCATCTTTATTTTAATAAGGCTATTTATTTCCTCTGCAGAAACATACTAGATAAAAATGGATTTTTTAGATGCTAATTTGTGAATGTACAACAGCACTTCAAGGCTAAACCTGCTTTTAGTGATGCCTGCACATGTTTATTTTAGGTATAGTTTACTGTATAAGGGACATTTCTTTGTTTTAAATCGGTGTACATTCATCAGTAGAGCTGCACAATATATTGTTTCAGCATCGATATCGCAGTTTGATCATTCGCAGGATATGCAATGTTGAATTTTTATTATAATGTATCATTTGCATGTGTTTTTTTTATGCCTGCAATCATATAATTACTTTAAATGCTTTCCAGTATAAATGATATTACTATTTGTGACCTTTCCTATGATTAATTTTATAGAATTGTTTATAATTTTTTAATTCATTTACTGTATTCAGGACAAGATAAAACACTTTATTTCAACTCTATCTTTTCTTGATTATATTTATAGATTGTTACGCATGAGAATAAAACACATGCAAATACAGAAATGAACTGCAAATAGCACAGGACCACAAAAATGGTATAGATTGGTCATTTGTTTTTATGGAGATGCACTCTCACTGCAGAATCATCCCAATCGATCTAACTTCATAAACTCTTTCCAAATATAGCAAGTTATCTAGTGAAACTGTATTCATATCGCAATATATATTGCAACATAAAAAACATTGCAATCTTAGATTTTTCCAATATTGTGCAGCCCCTAGTCGTCAGCATTCGAAGTGGATCAAAAACTGAAAGCTCAAGTCATCAACTATTGAACAACACCCATTCTTGTCTAATATTCTTGTTGTCAACTTCATGCTTTCTATATATATATTTACTTTTCCTTACATATATAAATAAATAACAAAATAGATAAAATTCATAAGTAACATTTATGCCTATGCTAATACTTTATACTAATGCTAATATGCTTTATACTTACATGATAAATTCATGTTATGTCTATTAGACCATATTTGTGGTGATCATGGCCTAATATTTAGACACATACTGTATACACATTTAGGTTATATTTTTGTTTTTAATCACTAAATGTAAACCTATTCCTTTTTTAATATAAAATATTATTATGTTAACACCATATGGTAAAGCCAGTCATGGTTTTGTCCCATAATGAGACGCCAATCTGGACATATACAGCATGAAAATGTTCTCATATATATTTAAGTTGTTTTATGTGTTTAATATTAAATGTAAAATTATTATTTTTTACTTTAAAATAACTTTGTTTTTACAACCATATGGAAAAAGGCAGTCATTATGATTTTGGCCCATAATAACCACCTATTTGTAAATATACCATAGAAATAAATTCATATATATTAAGATATATTTATGTATTTATTACTAAATGTAAACCTTATTTTACTATAAACATACAGTTCTTTTACCACCATATGGTAAAGGTGGTCATTATGGCTATCTACAATAATAACCACCTATTGTTAACATACAATTATATACTATTATATATATTTTTTTACATAAAGAGCAGTCACACAAAATCTAAACTGAATAATGTAATATTTACAACAATTTATGGGTTTTTAACAATTTTGTTGATTATTAGAAAGCTAAACCATGATTAAACCGTGTTTTGGGCATTGTACCATGGTAAATGGTTGTTTTTTGAATATGTTACACTATATTTCCGGCATATACTTTCTTGGAGCAATTCCTGGTATTATTTGATGTATCGCTGATGTAATTACTAATCAAATTCCATGATATAGGAGTATCTTATAAAATAACATGGTATTTCTCGACTTTGGTTACTAAACAAACGTGCTACCTTAGTATAGTAACAGTTCATTTAATCAAACAGTAACCCCTTCATAATTGCTCTAATGACTGCTACAATGGTCTTTCTAGACAAAATTACATCTCAAGACGTTTGATTTCTTTACATATGGTGACACGTATGACAAATGTGAGCATAATGAAATAAAATACTTACAATAAATGATGAAATGAGGTCATCAAACAGGACTTTTCGTCATTTCGAAGCTTCTCCCATCACATCTCACCCCGACTGACACTTCTTTTGGATACTGTATTTTAGCCAAAGGTAGGGTGTTCAAGTATTTCCAGTATGCACCGACACCTTTCAGCGATTTATGCAAATTAGCCTCACAAAACTTTGATTACAATGCGTCGAGCAGATTTCAGAGCCATAAACTCAAACAGTTCGACTAGACAATTATGTAGAAATAATCAAACTTGTCGTGAAAAGATTCATCGTGAAGCTCACCTTCAGTAACAACACCCGCATACACCTGCCGACAGGTAAACAGCGTCACACATCAGCGTGTGAAGCTTTTAAAGGGCCATGGCTCTTTTTTAACTAACACAACACACCCAAGATCGTGTTACTTTGGTTTGTGTTTCAGAAGGAAAGAGGACTGGATCATTTAGCTGTTTGTCGAGAGTGGACGCAGAAAACTGGACAAACAGGTTTTAGGTCTCATTTCAACCTGCTGACCTACATCTCGCACACGAAGCCGAGGGCACTTGTGTGTTTACACATGCGATTGCCTTCAAAAAGGAAACAGTTTTGATAATGAAAGCCTGTTAAGCGAGATAAGTGAGCAATCTTTCAGGTTTTGTCGACAACATTTTCGATCTGCGGTCTGTGTTCAATTTATAGACGAGTCGACTCTTTTAAACGAATCATCTCTGTGTGCAAAATGACAGCCAAGACAGTCATCAGCTACATTTTAACCACTACTGTAAGCATATATGTTGTCTATATATTCATTTTTATATTCATATATATATATATATATATATATAAGCATGGGGTCATTTAAAAGATAGATCACCCCATCATTTAATTTACTCACACTCAAGTGACTCCAAGCGTTTTTGAGTTTATTTCTTTTGCTGAACACTAAAGATATTTTGAAGAAAGCTGAAAACCTCAAGACAGAAACTCATTAGCATTGTAAATGAAAAGGTAAATCAATTATTACTTTTTTGGTGAACTGTCCCTTTAATGTGGATTAGTTGACAGATAATATCTAAGTAAATCTGAATCTTATTTTATATTCTTTAGAAACAAACAAGGTTGGATTGACAGAATTTGACATTGCATTAATATTTTTTATTACTATGAAGCTGTTGTTAATCAATCTTTATTGTGTAAAGATCTATATAAAAATTAAATTCACTAGACAGACAGACAGACAGACAGACAAATATATAGATATATAGATAGATAGATAGATAGATAGATAGATAGATAGTTAGATAGATAGATAGATAGATAGATAGATAGATAGATAGATAGATAGATAGATAGATAGATAGATAGATAGATAGATAGATAGATAGATAGATAGATAGATAGATGGATAGATAGATAGATAGATAGATAGATGGATATAAAGATAGACATACAGACACGGATTTATTTTCTCTTTGCCAAGATGACAGTAAATAATATTAGACTAGATATGCTTCAAGAAACTTCCATACAGCTTAAAGTGACATGTAAATTCTTCACCAGGTTAATTAGGTTAACCAGGCGGGTTAGGGTAATTTGTTATTTTGTTAATTTGGTAAGTTATTGTATATTGATGGTTTGTTCTGTAGACCATTGAAAAATATACTGCTTATAGGAGATAATTAGTGACCTTAAAATTATTTTTAAAATATATATATTTATTTAAGACTGCTTTTATTACTGCCAAAATAAAACAAATAAGACTTTATCCAGAAGAAAAAAAATATTATCAGACATACTGTGAACATTCATTTACTCTGTTAAACATCATAGATAATAACACAGAGAAAACCGCAGTTTAGCGCCCCCTGTATTGTTCGAAGCGGCTAACGTCATTACACATTTTAGCCAGTTCGAACACAGACCATTATCATCCTAGGTACACTAGAGGGCGCCTCTTCATCTACGTATCTACAGGTAGATGGCATCAATTCATTTCTTATAGGTGGGAAATAAAAAATGAATAATATGTGTAACGACATGATTGACATTTATTTGTTGTTTAGGTTATAGGTCAAAGGTTGTGTGTGTGTGATGGATGGATATATAGATAGATAGATAGATAGATAGATAGATAGATAGATAGATAGATAGATAGATAGATAGATAGATAGATAGATAGATAGATAGATAGATGATAGATAGATAGATGCATGAATGGATATACAGATAGACAGACAGACACTGATTTATTTTCTCTTTGCCATGATGATAGTAAATAATATTAGACTAGATATGCTTCAAGAAACTTCCATACAGCTTAAAGTGACTGGTAAATTCTTCACCAGGTTAATTAGGTTAACCAGGCAGGTTAGGGTAATTTGTTATTTTGTTAATTTGGTAAGTTATTGTATATTGATGGTTTGTTCTGTAGACCATTGAAAAATATACTGCTAATAGGAGATAATTAGTGACCTTAAAATTATTTTTAAAATATATATATTTATTTAAGACTGCTTTTATTACTGCCAAAATAAAACAAATAAGACTTTATCCAGAAGAAAAAAATATTATCAGACATACTGTGAACATTCATTTACTCTGTTAAACATCATAGATAATAACACAGAGAAAACCGCAGTTTAGCGCCCCCTGTATTGTTCGAAGCGGCTAACGTCATTACACATTTTAGCCAGTTCGAACACACCATTATCACAATAGGTACAGTAGAGGGCGCCTCTTCATCTACGGATCTACAGGTATGGCATCAATTTATTTCTTATAGGTGGGAAATAAAAAATGAATAATATGTGTAACGACATGATTGACATTTATTTGTTGTTTAGGTTATAGGTCAAAGGTTGTGTGTGTGTGATGGATGGATATATATATATATATAGATAGATAGATAGATAGATAGATAGATAGATAGATAGATAGATAGATAGATAGATAGATAGATAGATAGATAGATAGATAGATAGATAGATAGATAGATAGATAGATAGATAGATAATTTCCTTCCAGCACTAGGTATAAAAGACGCATAGTTGACAGCACATTGTTTATTATTTAATTTACACGACAATATAGAGACATTAAACATCAAATACTGGGATGCAGTTTGCAGAGACCAACAGAGAAAGAAATATAAGAATGAGACAAATATATAAATTAACTGGTCGCAAAAATTTTTTTTTTTTTCATCTTTGATAAAAAGATGATCAAATGCTGTTAGATTTCAGGTAGTTTGCATGAAATAAATGAAAATGAACTTTTCAATACGATTTCGTTTACATTCCTGTGACATCCTCTATGGCACTGACATAGGGACAGGGGGAGGTATACTATTGCGCACACAAACACACACACTCTTCATTCAGTCATCTCAGAGTTTGTACAATGTAATTGCTATTAATGTGACTCAGTTCAGTGCTGTAAGGTTTGATGGTTTCAGATAGTCAAAGTATCTTACATGCACACACACACTCCACACACAGACAGAGAAGGAGAGAGAGAGAGAGAGAGAGACAGAGACAGAAAGTAGCACCATGTTAATCAATAAATGTTAAATATAACAGTAATTGTGAACTTAGCAGTTTATGAATGCATACAGTTCTCCTTAAGACATCTGCTGAACTGACAATAAAAAACAAAACAAAAATAAAAACAATTCCCAGTTGGTCTTTGCACAGTGGCACGGGGGCATTTACCGATGATGTTTGCCTCATACTGGTCAACTGTGGACTACATACTGAATATTTAAATATGGATAAATGTCCATTTACATATTAATACTCTTTCTATATATTTTAGTCATAAATACTGATTTTCAAATACTTTCAAAAATATTATTCAGGTTTATAAATGACAAAATACTGAAAATTTCTCTTTTTTTCCATGATCAGGATGTTTTCTCTGTGCTTTGACCATTGTTTTTTAGTCTCTGAACCATTACATAGTAGTCTTTCAATGTAGGCTAAATTCTATCAAGCGTAGTATTTTTCAATATTTTTAAAGACTATTAGCATGCCCATCAAGACATTAGCACACAAAATAAACAAGGAAGAAATAAAGCGTAATCCATCACTTCACATGCGTCCCGATTTAAGGCCTGTGGGGAGTCTACATGATCGACAAAAATGTTGATAGGAAAATAAAGACAGAGAACAGGGCTTCCACACTTTTCAACAAATAATTTTCATGACTTTTTTCAAATCGTTTGCAAAGATTGGATTATGTAAAATCATTCTACTGAACTCATGTAGCAATTTCAAGATAAGAAATGTAGAAAATATTATATTAAATACATTTCTTTAATCTTTTTACAATATTTTCAAACTTCAAAAACTATTTTTTCATGATATTTCCAAGATATTTCCATGAGTGTGTGAACCCTGCATTACCAAAAAAAATAGGGAGGATAGATAGATAGATAGATAGATGGATAGATAGATAGATAGATAGATAGATAGATAGATAGATAGATAGATAGATAGATAGATAGATAGATAGATAGATAGATAGATAGATAGATAGATAGATAGATAGATAGATAGATAGATAGATAGATAGATAGATAGATAGATAGATAGATAGATAGATAGACAGAATAAAAAATAGGGGGATAAGAGGAAAACAATTGTATTCAAAAAAAGAAAAAGAAAAAAAAGATATTAAATATAAAAAAATATTAAAAGAAAAAGATAAATATATACTGAACAAGGCCTTTATCCTCAACACATTTCCTTACAGGAATCGTTACAATAGCTCTGTGCAAATCCAAATCCACATGACCACATACATGAAAATACATTGAAAATGCCTACTGAAGTACGAAGCTGAAGTAACTATATGCCTCAACAGTGATTTGGTCGTTTTTTTTTAATGTCCCATAGCAACACTTTCCCCACGTCTTTAATACATACTTTCATAACAATAAAAATAAATACAATCTAATATGCTTAACATATAATCTAACATATAATCGTATTGTGCTCAATGGGTTGATGCATCAATATGCAATATATATATATATATATATATATATATATATATATATATATATATATATATATATATATATATATATATATATATATATATTTGTATAGAATATATATATATATATATTTGTATAGAATATGAACTCCCTTATATCTTTCTTTTTTTATATATATTTATATAGTTACCGTATAGTCATCTCTCATTTCTGCAATAAAACTTTTTTAACTGATTGACTTCCATTATTATTATGAATGTGCAAAGATGACATAATGTGCAAAATTAATATCTGTAATCTGAGAGATTTTCTCAGCTCTACTTTAAGGACACAGAAACTGATTGGACAGGCAACATTCAAAACCCCACTGGCGAAAAAAGAGCTGGAATGAACGCACGCACGCACGCACGCACGCACGCACACACACACACACACACACACACACACACACACACACACTGGCATCTTGAATGTTTGTTTCAATACCTTTCTCCAGATGCAGACGGGCTGGGCAAAATAATACGATGTTTCCGGCATGAGTATCGTGCTGGTGGGCTGTCGATCATCTCCGCATGTGGGCTCGCTCAAAAACTCAAGAGTACGCAGAGTAACTTCTCTGCTTCCCTCCCCTGCAGAGTCTGAACAACCCAGAGCTCAACTGTAAGGCAAAACCTGTATATCGTGACAGACTATAGCTCCGTTCCAAACCCTAGTGAGCTGCTGCACTGCCTGTACTCTCAAAAATGACTTTTGCTGCTGGTTTAAACAACTAATTTAAAATGAGTTGAAAACAATTCTTAAGGTAAATCAGTTGTTATAGGTTCAATCCACTCAAATTGTAAAAATGATTCAATTAACTTAATCGATTTGTGTTGGGATAACATGAAGAAATTGTGTGGAACCCAGTATTACAGTGTAGAGGAGGTATCCGAACTAACAAAAGTGATTTGGGTGTATGGCCATACACGATATACGCGCTAATACAGTAAATACACACTACTTACTTACTAAGCTCACAGTGTGGTACTCTAAATCAAGTCACAGATTTTGCAAATCCTGGATAAAACCAAACATCTGAAGTCTTTATGAATGTCATGCGGTAAAATATATCTTTATAATCAACATCACTTGTGCTTGTCTTTTCCCACATGAAAAAAATACTATAGTAATTTATAGTGAATACTAAACCACACTGTAATAAAGTGTATTATACTGTATAATAGCATTTACAAGCCTTTGTTAATCAATTCCCTAGCTTCCTGTAGTATTAACAATAGTGAACTGAAAGTATGCAGTATGCTCTAGCTTTTACTACAGTAAACTGTGGTGTATTGTAGTATAATATATAAAAAAAACTTTAATTTGGGTCATTTGTTTAAGCTATTGTTTTACCATCGCAATTATAGAATTACCCTAACAGATTAACTCAAGTACTTTACCATAGTGTGGTTTACAAACACTAGACTATTCACTATAAACTACTATAGTATTTGTCATGTTGGTTTAAAGGAAACGTGGATTGCTGCTATAGAAATTGGCTAAAAAATAAAAATAGTGTCTTAAAAGGAAACATAATTAAAATGGCAACCTTAGGGCAGCTCACTAGGTTTAGGAACAGAGCACTTGATAAGCCATCTTGAAAAAATGAGAGAAGATGAAAGCGATTAAAGGAAAAAAAAAGCCAGGGCTGGGTCGATCTGTGGAATCATGAAATGAATCCAGGAATGAGTTTTAGCACCAGAGGAAGTCCACAGACGTGAAAATGAGCCATTTGGAGGAAGCACTTTGAGAGACGTGGAACCGAAGGGGAGGGGTTTTCACATTAGCAACAGTCAGCACTAAGTCTTGACAGCTCTCAGCATGCAAAATGAGAGTCTGAATAAGGGGCACAATTGTCTATTTGTCTAAACAGTCTGGACTTTTTAGTTTTTTTAGGGCGAGTTTTGTTCTTTGTTAACATTATTAAAGTTTATTTTCTGCATGTCAGCAGTGAAACTGAAATCTCCTGGCAATACCAGTATGGAGGATTGCTAGTATTTCTTCATGTGTAACAGACCAGCCGTACTTGAATTTGAAGATTTTGGTTCGGGTTTTGTGTAAAGCAGCTTCTCAGCCATTGGGTTTGTGAGTTTTTTTTTTCTTTTTAAAGTAGTACATTAGGAAGTTTACCAGGACTGGGGTGTTGGGATGGTCTTTCTCAACTGTGGTAGCTGACGACAGCAACTTGTTTCTGAGAAAGTCTCTGCAGTTCTTCCCTGATGGCCTTGATGAGAGAGGCGGAGGAGTGAGGTGGTGGAGAGTGCTCTTCTGGGGCGATGTAACCCGCGTTTGAGGCTTCCAGGTGGGACTGGGGGGGTGCAGAATCCTGCAGGGACGTCCTGGGCATCTGGAATACTGGTGAAGAAGAGTATTCTGGGAATGTCATTATCTGAGGAACAGGAGGAGAGAGAGAAAGAGAAATAATGTAAATATTCTGTAAAACAATGTAAAAAAAATTTATATATACAAAAAAATATGAACATATTCACTGTTTAAATATATAAATAAAATATAAATTTTACTTGCATTTAATTTTTTTTAAAAAAAAAGTTAACAAAGTTTTTAATATGGACTAAATGTATTTTTAATGTAGATTTTAATATTTTAAAGAAATCACATTTAAATATATTCAGTAAGAAATAATGGTTAAAATACAACAATTCAAGATTTAAAAAATTACATACAGATTCCACCTAAATAAATATATAATATAGATAAAAATATATTATAATAAAAATGGTAAAATAAAATAGTACACAAACACAAGCTTAAATATGTATAAATGATAAAATAATACAAACAATATATATTTTAATTTAAAAGTATTAATCAAATCAAATAGGTGTTAAAGAGTTAACATCTTATCTATTACTATTTTTACAAATGTGTCAAAAGAATTAGTTTGCATTACCTTGATTTAAAAAATTGTAACAAATTTAAACCAATTAATTAATTGCCTGTTCATTTACATTATTGCATTTCTAATTATACGACTGCAATGCTTTGGCTATACAATATGTATAGTCACAATATTTGGCTATACAGATATGTAATTTCATAATATATATAATTTAAGATCTACCATTAAATATACCATTCTGGAAACTCAATACAAAAATTAATACAAAATTGCATGCTTGATTTACAGCCTCTCGGTTGGATCCTGGTCGAGAGATCTCCTCATCTGAGCGGTACTGAGCCCAGCTTGATCCTGAGGGTCCAGAAACACTACGGCCAACTCCAGGATACAATCCAATCCGACTCGACAAGCCCACTTGTGTCAACTGATGCAACTGCGCACCTACACACACAGCTCACTATGAGGGACTTTATTTTATAATAAAACAAAAATCACACTAATGCCTATTAAAATGAGTAGATTTTAACAAAAAATAGTGCATATTTTATATATATTTTATATAAGACATATTGCATATATATATTTCTGTGTGGAGTTTGCATGTTCTCCTCATGTTCGTGTTGGTTTCCCCTGAGTGCTCTAGTTTCCCCCACAGTCCAAAGACTGCGGTATAGGTGAATTGAATAAACTAAATTGGCTGTAGTGTGTGCATGCGAATGCAAGAGTGTATGGGTGTTTCCAAGTGCTGGGTTGCAACTGGAAGGGCATCCGCTGCCTAAAACATGAGGTAGAATAGTTGGTGGCTCATTGTGCTGTAGCAACCCCTGATAAATAAGGGACCAAGCCAAAGGAAAATGAATGAATGAATGAATATTGCGTATATTTAAAAATAAAACATATTGTTACCTGTGCTGCCCCCTACTGGTCGTGGTCGAGAGGACGAGGGCATCTCGTCTCCATATTGTCCCCTGCTGGAATACCCAGGATCTGACTGCATCTCTGCAGACACCAGATACCCAGAGACCTGTGTCTGCCTGTTAAATCATACAAACAATACACTGTGTAAATATATGTCAGTAAATACTCGCTCGATAATTAAATACTGCAAGGCTAAATGTGATGTAGCAGCATGTTTGCTTTTCTCTAACCCTGTTATTTGCTCTGATAATTATGTTTAACAAGGATTATCGTCCTCCTTTAAAATGTACACTTTTTTCAACTTCCTCTTATCTTTTCATGTTAAGTCGCGATCACACTGCAGTTTTCGCCCCAAAGAGTTCCATTCATATGGATGTGAATGTGGCAGAGAAGGAAACGTAAGCTTGTGTGACAGGTTTTGCATGTCGCAGCGTTGCAAAGTTCAAGCTTGGTAAAGTCTGACCTGCGAAATCGCATCATGTGATTGCGTGAGACCAAATAGAGGGTCAAAATATGACCTCTCGCTTGCTTTTATAAATGTTTAATCATCTTGTTTAATCCAGTCCCTTTTCACAACACCATACGATAGTTTTAAATGCTTAAATTCATTTAAATTCTTAAGCCAGTTTAGTCCATTCCATAAAAAAACCCTCCCAGAATCCTGCTCACCTCTGCAGTAAACCCTGGACCGATGTGGGAGACATTCCTAGCTCTGCATACCTCTACAGAACACACACAGAGAGAGAAAACAAAATGAAAACATGATATTTCACATTCAAATTCAAGCGCTCTAAAAGCTACAGTCACTCACAGCGGAGAAAGGACTGTGTGCAGGAGCTGCTGGGTAAGAAGAGGAGCCCCATTGGCGTGCAGGGCGTGGAGACGGGCTGGAAGGTTGACCGGGGCTGATTCCTCCAACACCAGTGTCCGCCGTAACGCCAGTAAACGTTAGAGGAGCAGGACTTCCTTGAGAAGAGGGCGAGACCAGAGCAAAAGCATCGTCCAATAAGGAGTGCATCTGCTGCCGGGCTTCTTCAATGGTTGGCTGAGGGGGGACGTAAGCGGGCGGTGAAGGGGCGGGGCCAGACGGAGGCGATCCAGGGTCTAAAAACACCTCATCAGTAGGAGAAGGACTTCCAGCATCTGGGAGCTGATCTGCGTCAGACTACAGGAAGAGAATTAATGAGTTTATTAAAAGCAGGATAACGCAACACTATTGCTATTTAAAGTGTATTTAGTGTGCTTTAAACAGGTGAGTGGGCTTGACAAACCACTTGTGGAAACACTCTCCTCTCTATATGCACTGGACACTTAAACTCCATTTTACAAGGACTAATAACTTACAACTCAAACTAAAAATATAAATTAAAATCCCGCTTGGAGTGGGGTAAGTCAAACCAGAGGAGTTTCAATGGTGCCGTGACCCCATTGGAAGTGAGATTTAGGTTTAACTAGTTAGAGTTTTGTGGGAAAACCTGACTCCCGTGGCCACAAAAGGTGCACTGAAATTATAGGCTGATGTCTTTGGCATTTTTTTAGCATGCCAATGCCCAAAATACCAGTTCAAATCTCTCAATGGAGCACAATAAGTATATTCTGAGATGTTAAATTGGTGCCGTGACCCGGATTAGATTGAGGTTTAGGGGGTAGAAATGCTAGTTTGAATACGGAGGAGACTGAATCATTGAGATATTCAAATCTTTGTGGTGAGGTGAGAACATTCGGTGTATTTGCAATAATACAGTGATGCGGATAGGAGGAAATATCATTCTTAACAAAAAACCTACAAAGACACTTAAAGAATAAGATTATTAAGATTATTAACTATAACAACACTTACTCTACACATTACTATAACAAAAATGATTTTAGGATCCACACTAATGCACAATAACATTATAGTGCAGTACTGTGTGCAACTTAAATGCTAAAATGTTTATGTCCTACCACATAGGCTACGTTGTTGACCCCAGGGTACTTCCTGTAGGTGGCGTCTCGATCAGAAATGAGGCGATCTTTGTCTCTCGGACTTCCGCTTCCACTTAAATTCTGCTGCCTCTGCCTGTGTCTGGGTGAGCGTCTTCCTCTGGAACTGTAATTTACAAACAAATTACATTCCCTGTTCTTGACAGAAAACTGTAGGCAAGTTGCAGTACAAGCGAAATGTGTTTTTCTGACCTCTTGCGTGGCTCTCCGCACGACGAGTGTGTGTGCTCGTCAGGATGCAAGATCTTGTGTATCTGCTCCTGAGCTTGTTGATACACTCGCTGCTGCTCGGAGTTGTCGCCGAACGCTGCCATGATGTCCTCCATGGAGGGGAACTCGTAGTGGCCCTTTCGTTTGGCACGCAGGCGGATCTTATTGCGATGGTGTTCGATCTCAGATTTATGCCTCAAGGCCACTTGGATCTGCATCATATACATAAAAACCATATGAATACTTTCTTTGAAGATAAACATTATAACATTATTCGTCATTGAATATTAAAGAGATAGTTCATCCAAAGTCTTTTATTCTGCGATAATTTATTCACCCTTCCCTTCACTCAGAACAAAAAACACATATAAATGTTTAAAACCCCACGAGAGCAAGTAAATGATGTGGTAATTTAAAAAACTATCTCTTTAAAAAGGCACATCCCGGAAGGTAAACATGAATGTTTGCTAACCTCACTGTTGACCTTTGCTCCGTCAGTAATCTTGTCTGTCAGATTGGGACTCAGGGGTTGGTTATGTGGATGTGAGGGTGGGCTCGGCATGGGCTGCATGGCGATAAGCTGTATCTTATTGGACACCCTGCGTGTTCCATCGGACGAGCCTCGAGACACACGGTCCACATGCTCGAATATGGACGATGAGGACAACTGCTCATCCACACCGCTTCCAGGCTGAGCACCTGAACATCAAGGACAGTAGTTTAGCACACTGTAAAAAGCAATTAGTTGACTTTATTTAAAAGAAAAGTAAACTCAGTGCCTTATAATTATTATGTAAACAAACTATGTGCATAATTCTTATAGTTAGGTCAGTGGGTTTACTGACTTTATTTAAAATAAAATCAACTTGTTGCTTTTAAGGCAATGGGTTTACTCACTTTTTATGCACTGTTTTACAGTGCATTTATAACTAACAATATGCAAATGCAATACATGTACATTGGCAAAGAAACTTACCAAGTTTATTTTTAGCTGATGAACCGAGAAAAGAAGGAGAAGAGAAAGTATTAAAAATCAAAAATCAGTTTCATTACTTTTTACAATACAAATCCCAGCATTTTTTGTGTTCAATATGTACCATGCTTGCTCTTTCGATGTTGGGGTTTGCTGTCACTGGGTGTCACAGCAGGTCTGGTGCTCTCCTCTGCTGATTCTCTACCACTAGATGCTTCACTTCCTAAAGAATCACCATCAGATGGAGACAACCTGACAAAAAAACAATATCTGCAAGTTAAAAACTGAAAGAAAAGCTGTTAAATAATCTGTATATCTCTTTCCATATCCACTCCATGGTGTTTTGTCGTTAATTTGGTTTATCCTGCAAGTTTTTTCTTTCCCCTGTTATTTATTTATTTATTTTTAATTTTTAAATTTATTTATTTCCCATCATTACTGCTATGTTATGACATGCATGACTCCAGACTATGTAATTATGTATTAGACCCAAATTACTGTGTTAATCTGCCTTGGGATGTTCAGGTTTTGGGTGTGGGGCTCAGATTAAAACAAAAATAGAAAGAAGGAAACAAAAAAAAAAAAACTCATACAAACCAATGTTATTATTGTTACTAAAGCTAAAAGCTGAAACAAAAGTAAATATGGGATGTAAAGTTCACAACTGTATTCTTCTAAGCACTGGGTTTTGATCATTTGTCAGCAAGTATAATAGTAAAAGTTATAAAAGCATTCAATATAAATGTCTATAATAAACACCAAGCCTAAACAACAATTTTAATAGCAAATTTGAGCTTACTGGTGCACAGAAAATGCTTGAAGCAGATTTAATTACATAAGCGTTATTGCATTATGTAAGTCAGTTTGAAATCTAAGCTAGAGCTCATTTTAAAATGATTTAAAATGTGACTTGTGTATTCAAGATAATATAAAAATATATATATTCTGAATACTGCATTGCCAACTGTCAAAATACATTAATAAAATGTATTAAAATTAAGCACTAAAACTAATAAATACTCATTTCTAATAAGTGATTTCTTTGATCTTAGCCATGATGAGAGTACATATTATTTTACTAGATATTTTAAGATGCTAGTATTCAGCTTAAAGTGCAAGTTAGAGGCCTAACTAGGTTAATCAGGCAAGTCATTGTATAAAGATGGTTTGTTCTGTAGACAATCAAAAAATATTATTTAAAGGGGCAAATAATATTGGCCTTAAAATGGTTTTAAAAAGAAAAAACTGCTTAAAACAAATAAAACTTTCTCCAGAAGAAAAAGTCTTATTGGAAATACTGTGAAAAAATCCTTGCGCTGTTAAACATTATTTGGAAAATATTTTTAAAAGAAATTCACAGGAGGGCGAATGTGTGCAAAGATAAGTTAAATAAAAAGTAAGACATAAAAATTATATGAAACTTCAAAATGAATAATAATAATATTAAAAAAACATATTAAATTACATAAATTAAACTAAAATAAAACAAGAAAATACACTAAAATACATTGAATATTGAAAATATTAATCAGAGTATTAAAAAAAAAAAAGAGTAAAAAAAAACATTGCTAGTCATGAACTAGAATCTGTATTACATTTTCGTATTTATCTAGCAAGAAAATGTATTCGTTTGATGTGGTCCGCTCCTAACATTCCAATATGTGGCTGAACCATTTTATTACCCTTACAAAAACTGACTTGCATCAGAAATCTGATGATTTCTAGCATATCTGGAATTCTCTATGGGACAACATCCTATGATGTAGACTACTTTTTGTTTATTTTACCCTTTAAAAAAGACTTGAATTACAAGCTGATGGACAATTGTTTAACAGATGGCTGTATTATTGTATATGATGACATGAGACAGCTATACCATCTTTAAATAATTGTTAAAAAAATACACTGCTAAACACATGGCACATGATTACAGCCAGTCCCTTACCGGCCTCTCCTTCGTGCTGCACGTGATGCTTTCGTAGACGAGCTCTTCGATTTAGGCGTGTTCAATTCACCGCCCTCTGAGGGTGTGGCCTCTTTGACAGACGGCGGTAACGGGGCGGGTTCCTGAATTACCATGATGTCATCCTTACTATGCTGCCCCAGATGCAGCTTAGCAAAATCAAAGCCTTTAACGCTGGGAGGCTGCAACTGAAACAACAAACAAGCATGAACAGATGATAAATATGGCGCAGCACATTAAACCGACTCTTCCCAAAGTAGCCCATTTTCAGTAAAAGCCCTTGACACGGATGAGTACAGGCACGCACCTCCTTCACAAGTGGTGTCTGTGAGTGGGTAAAACATTCATACACACACTCATTGACCCAGACCTTCTGTCTCTGCTGGATGGTGCTCATGGCGTCTGGCTGAAACTCCAGCTTCTCCGAGCGGCACAGTTTCCAGTAGAGGATGATGATGATGAGGACCACCACCAGCACTGGGACCACCACTCCTACGATCAGCCACACGTTACTGGGCTGAGTCTCAGACGGCGGCAGGGCCAGTTTTTCCACCGCTGAAACAGAGTGAAATGTAAGACAGCTGGCAAGATTAGAAGATCATTTAGGTCATTTAAAATGGCTTGTTTTCCTTTTCCCACAAGGATTTAATGAAGATGTTCAGGTTTTGTGGGCTGAATTAAATAAACTATTAAATGTTGACTCACGTGTGGCTAGAACTCCGTGTACGCGGTATCCCAGTACGATGGCGGCTCTCTGCAGGTTCAGTCTGTTCAGCATTGCCGCTGTGGCCTGGGCTGGCAGTCTCTCTCCCGAACCCTCTTCCACAAAATACACCAGCTCCAGCGGATAGTCAGGCCCATCCAGTCGAGACGCTCGCACAATCTGAGGTACATTCATGTTTAGCTGATGTTTGGGAAAGATAAACAAAAATGTGTGTTTGTTTGTACCTGTACGCTATTGTTGCCAACACTAGTAGATCTTCTCCATCGTCGATTGTTAATTCCGATCCCAAGTCCTTCTCCAACCAGCAATGCTAATCGTCGCTCCATTTTGGCCTGAAAGGTCCGCTCGTTCACACGCTGATCCAACACACCCAGTAAAACTAGAGCAAATGCATATGAGAAGCTTCAGAAATATGAAAAATAAAATACTGGGGAAACAAATCTAAACTTAAGTCTTTTAGTATAATATACAGTTGAATTATTAGAAATCCTGTATATTTTTTCCCCAATTTTTGTTTGGGAAACAGAGAGCAGATTTTTTTAAACACATTTCTAAACATAATAGTTTTAATAACTAATTTCTAATAACTGATTTCTTTTATCTTTGCCATGATGACAGTAACTAATATTTTACAAGATATTTTTCAAGACACTAGTATTCAGCTTAAAGTGACATTTAAAGGCTTAACTAGGTTAATAAGGTTAACTGGGCAGGTTAAGTATTTAGGCAAGTCATAGTATAACAGCTTTTTGTTCTGTAGATAATTGAAAATAAAACTATTGCTAAAGGGGGGCTACTAATATTGACCTTAAAATGGTTTATAAAAAATTAAAAACTGCTTTTATTCTAGCCGAAATAAAACGAATAAGACTTTCTCCAGAAGAAAAAATATTATAGGAAATACTGTGAAAAATTCATTGCTCTGTTAAACACTATTTGGAAAATATTTCAAGAAGAAAATATTTCACAGGATGGCTAATCATTTTACTCTTCAACTGTAAACTTGCAAGTGTTGAATTAATTGTTCTAATAATGAGAAAGATTTGATCCTATTATTGAGTTTAATATAAGTAAATCTACAACCGATGTTAATAAAATACATTAAAAATTAAAATAATTAAATAAATATTATCATCTCATATTAGAACTCACTTAAAGATAAGTTGCTTCTTTAATAGGTATTAATATTAATGACTATGTTTCTCTTGTGATACTAATTCTAATGCATAACAGAGACTTGCATAACGTGCTTTGGATAAAATAGACAGTGGTAAGTCATGAATAAATTATTAAATGATTGAAGGATCAATATATAATATGATATATTATCCTGCCTGTCACTCAAATCGGCTGCACTTAAATGCATTTTGGATTTTTTTTTTGTTTGTTAAATACTTCTTTCCAATCCCAGGTGAACTTTTTTGAAGATAATGTGGAGTTTACTTGATTCAAAATTGTGAAGAGATTCTTTTTTTTCAAATAACACTTTTTCTTTTCTTATTAAAGATTTTTCTCATTAATATTATTTCTTTCTAACCAAATTATTCCGGATAAGCAATGGTGGGAGCTACTTTATAGTTATTTTTAAATCCTATTAAATCCATAATAATAGAAATAGCCCTGTATACAGACAAAGTGATCCAGCAAAAACATTGCACCGCTAAAATATTATTATATACACAAGTAAAAGTTCTTCTAAAAGGTTTCAATTTTAATCTTTACTCAAAAAGTCCTCATTAAAATATCGAAGATCTTGGAATTAATTTGTCTAGAATTTCTAACACATCCACATACCTGTTTTCACCCAGGATGCACGTAACAAGTGGGACACATTGAGTTCAGGATAATGAAAAGCTGGAAGACAAACATGCCATAAAATCAGACATGAATAATAGTCTATCAAAAATTGAGCTTGTGTGTGTGTGTGTGTGTGTATATACACTATGTGACTCACGTTCAGCGATCTGTAGGGTAGGAAAACCAAGGTAGAAGCTGAACTCCACAGCACTAAGCTGCCTCATGTGGCCGCTCACATCCGATCCAGTTAGAAAACCACGAGAATCACGCACAGCAAACGTGATGTCCACTGGAGCCTTCTGCGGACGCTGACCCTTGGGAAGGCTACTAGTTATGTTCACAATCTAAGAAACAAAAAAAAGTCAATACACGTGTAAGAAATAAACAGAATTAAGGAGTCTTATTACTTTATATGAGACTTATTATTTAGACTATATTTATTTGACACTTTGATTGACATTCTCCCTTTGTTCATGTCATCAGTGAGGGAAAGCCTTGTCCATTAGTAACGATTAGTGAGTCATTAGCATAGACAGCCCTGAGTGAGAAGCAGCCGTCCGCCATCTAAAGTTTTTACCTGCTGAAGCTAATGTCACCGACTAAGAGGTATTAAAAAATGGAGTTTTAGGATGCACAAATGAACTCTGTGGTCTCCATAGACTGCCTTGCTCTGAGACACTTTTGACATTTTCAGATTTTCACAGAGATAACATTAGTCCTGTTTTGAATCTGCTGCTAAGCTGATGCATAGGAGTTTGTAGCTTCGCCCTCTTTTAAAAAGAGCACAGTCTTATTTGAATTTAAAGACACAGTCACTGAAACTGCACTATTGGGATTAAAAAAGTAAAAGGGTAGTTTCAAAGAGTTATAAAAAACATATTTGTTGGGTTTTTGAGCTTAAAACTTCACATGCACACTCAAGATACATCACAGACTTATTTTACGTCTTGTAAAAAGGGGTGTAATAGGTCCCCTTTAAATGTGAAAAAGAAAAGTGATGTGTAAATGCTGCAAATATTGTTTTAATAAAAAGAGTTCATACATGGACTGTGAAATTCCCATTTTCTTGTGAGCGTTTGCGCACTTCCGCATATGCCATGAGGAGCCCCTTTTCCACTCGCTCGCTAAAGCTACACAGACGCACATCCACATGACCTGGCACAAACTGCAGCACTGCATGACAAACAAAAAAAATACAGTCTTTCTTAAAATAAAAACACAACATGTAACACATTATATTATTGTAAATACTTAAATATATTAAAGTTTGTTGCTATCTCTGTTTGATTAACTCCTTATTTGTGGAATGATCATCTTTATGTTGGTAATGCAATGTGTTACTGGAGATAAATCATTAAAATAATAATAATTAATCATATTAAATTTATCATACACTGAAAAAAATTATCTATTGGATTTACTTAAATTTTTTGAAGGTAAGTGGGTGCAAACAATTTCTATGGGCTGAATTAAAACAAATTAAGTTAAGCATTACTAAATTTAAATTGTTGGTTTAAATTAAGCCCAAATAAATAGTTCTAATCTAATCTAATCTAATCTAATCTAATGCATAGCAACTAATGTTATTTATTTATTTTTTATTTTTTATTTTATTGCTCAGAATGTTTCAAATAAATCAGTTCACCAGTTTTATTAATTATATGGAGTGTTTGTGTCTCTCTCACCTGTGTGGACCTGATGCTTGTAATCAGGCACTGCATATATAGTTGTAACAGAGAGAATGGTAGAAGACGATGTGCTGTGCATTGGTTGGCGGAGAGCATTGATGACTGACACAGCAGTGTAGACCAGTGGACCAGAAAAAGCCCGAAAGATAAAATTGGGTGGATATTTGTGGACCTGGATGGACGAATTGATATATTAGATATCACTGATCACAAAGATAAAATGCTGCTGTGTGATCTCCAACACTCACCTTTAGCTCCACTGAACGGTTAAACTCTCGTCGAAGAATCTCAAGAACATGATTTTTAGCAAACTCCACTGATGATCCACTTGGCATACCTGTTGTAAAGTAATAAATAGATAATAAATAGCCTATAAATTAAAAGCATTTATACACATTCTAAAGCAGAATTTATCCGTAAGTGATCATGATGACATGCTACAGATTGCATTTAGCAGTGTTAAAAATATTTATTTAAATATGAAGATGTAAATGAAAGTTTAATGTGATGTTTGATGTGATCAAAAAGGCTAAATAAATAATAATACCTAATGAATTTCTTTAAAATATAATTTAAGGAATTACATAAAGATTACATTCAACTGTAATTAAATTGCAAGTTAAATTAAAGGTTAAACGTAAACTATTAGAGTTTTTAAAAATTACCTAAATGCATAAAAAGGACAATGTTGTGTGATAAATATATATATATGAGCAATATCACACTCGTAGCAGTGCGATATGGCTGTATATCGGCAATGGTGGGAGGCGTGTGTTGGCAAAAGGCCGCAGGCCGAGTGCCTTAGTGCTCCCACCAGTGCCGATATACAGCCATATCGCACTGCTACGAGTGTGATATTGCGTTTATACAACAGTTTGACGGCAAAATTGTGTATTTAAAAACAAAATCAAACATGGAGAGTCTCAAAAACCCTTTTGTTTGAGGAACTACTTTCTTCCACCGTGGATTCAAATCATAAACTAACAGTTAAACAGCTGAGCAAGCCTCTTTTAAACTTTAGATCTGTAGTGTCTGCTTTTAGCTGGTTCTATGTGGGCAGAGTAATACACAAAGGGTAAAGAGGCTGTACGGGTGCTGATATTACTTATAAATATCACAGCTATCAGCCAATCAGATTCAAGAACCAGACGTAACTGTTGTGTGTGTATATATATATATATATATATATATATATATATATATATATATATATATATATATATATATATATATTATTTTTTTTTAAATGTGAAGATTAGTTTAATGTGATAATCTATAAATAAATGTCAGTATTTCATTAATTGCTTTAAAATATAATCGAACGAATCACATAAAGATTACATCTAACAGGGTTAAATGAAGTGTTAATTCTTCGTGTTTTTAAAGATTAATTAAATACAAAAAAGGACAATGATGTGTGATAAATAACATATAAGGCATGTAAATAATATTTAAAATAAATTATCAAATTAACCCTCAGTTAAGTCAAGAACTAGTAACATTTTTGACAACTTTACTGACATTGATAACAATATAATGATTTTATAATAGTTTAATAGTTAAAAGTCCTTCATAAAAATCCAAAGTTTTGTAATAACCCCCAATAACATTCCTCATTGGTTTTTCCCAATAAATATTTTATTCAGTGCCCTATAAAGGGTTGATAAATTATAAAAAATCAATAAATGAAAACTAAAATAAGTTGCTTTAAATTCCTTGATAATTTACTTATTTTTTACTTCAATTTTAGTGACAATACTTAACATAATACATTTTTTAAATGTAAAAAATTCCAATATCTTTTTAAGATCCTCCTGATAGCATGCAAAAAACCATAAGGAGAAATTGGCTTAAAGATACCACTTTGAACTGTAAACAGTGGTTTGATATTATTGAAGAAATCCTGACATTGGAGGAACTTACATACATACTGAAAATGAAAACAAGTGCGTTCAGAAAGAACTGGGAAAAGTGGTTGATATACAAAGAAAATAAAGAGTCGCGCTTTATTTTGATGGTCCGTTTGTTGAATTTACATTTACATTGTATCTGCATGCCAACTAATTCTCATTAGATTATAAGTAGACTGTTGGGGTTAGGGTTAGTGCAAGTTGACATGTACATGCAAAGTTTCTTATAGTCAGTTAAATGTCTGTTGAAGGAGCAGTATCAGCAGATATTAAGCAGTCTACTAATGGACCATCAAAATAAAGTGTTAAAGACATCCCCAACTAAGTAAACTATTATTGTCATAGAAATGGTAACCTCATCTGTTTGGCTTTGTTGTTATACATGTCAACTTTATTTACTTGTTATTTTAAATGTTTTATTTCTCTTGCATAATGGTATGCACTAAGATGAATATATGAAGAGTTCAGATGCAAAAACCTCTAAAAGCCATCTGATATTTTCTGCTAAAATTACCATTTTTCTCCAACTCCTGTGTGTAGGCTCAGTAATTTTACATTTCCAGTGACAAATAAGTTATTTGCATTGCCTTTAAAGTAAAATAACTTAACAAAAACATAGGAGGCTGAAAAAAATGGTCATTTTAAGAGAATATTTCAGATGGCATTTAGAGGTTTTTGCATCTGAACTCTTCATTTATATACTGTATGTACATGATATGAAGTTATATATAAATCTATTATAGCACAGTATATAATTTTAATATGACATGCATATGTACAATATCTAAACTGCTTTATTGTTGTGATTTTTTCTTTATTTTTTAATGAATTGTTAAAATTGTGACTATGAGACTAAATAAATATAAAAGTTTTATTAAAAATATCCTGTTTTCTTACCCACTCGGACAAGGTACATTTCTGATTTGCTGATGTTGCAGACATTCTGTCGTGGTGCGATGGGCTGATGAATTTTGGGAATTGTAGGCGGTGCACTTTTAGTGGAGAGGCTTGTGGGATTTGTAGTAGTGGTGGTTGTTGTTGTTGTTGTTGTAGTTCTAGAGATGGTTTTGACTGTGGTCGTACGGGGTTTTGTAGCAGGGGGCTTCAGCGTGACGGCTTGTATTACTGGACCCTCAGAGATGCTGGCTGGAGGGGGCGCTGTTGGCACTGATGGTTTGGTTTTGCCCATATGAGATGTAGGTATGGAAGGAACACCCTTCTCCGGAGCTTTTGGAGGTCGCTGGGTCTCAGTGCTCAATGGGACAAGAGGTTTTGTAGGTTTCTCAGATGGAATTGGTTGATGAGTTATCCCATCAACCTGATCCGGGACTTTTCCCAAAGTTCCAGTAGGACTGTCGGTGGGTCCCAAAGTGTGCGTGGGAGTAATATGAGGATGCGTTTTATTCCTCGCAATACTAGCGTTCTCTTTGGCTTGTAACGTGTTGTAGTATTCCAAACTGTTCATGTCGGGAAGCAGCATTTCGGTTGGCTCAATAGGAAACAACTCCGCCCAATCGAAATCCAGATCATCGTCTCTATCAGAATCAGGAGCCAATGGGAGGCGGGGATCAGTAGGATGGGCGGTCCTTAAATGAGTCCCATATTTTACGGTAGCGCTGGGCTGGAGGTGTCTGGATGAAAGAGGAAGAATGGGACGGGAAGGGAAAGCTGTGTTGTAGCTAACCGTGGCATCTTCGTCAAAATCATATGGATCGTATCCATGCGTCGGTAATGTGGTGACCAGTGAAAACTCCTCTCCTTCAGATCCCATGAATGTAAGAGTTTCCAGGTAGTCTCCAGAACCCCAGTCCATCTCCGCCGAGTGGATTGGATATAAGTCTTCGGGTGGCACTAGGGTGGGTGGGGCTGGGGTAGGGAGTCTGTCGTCCCGCAGAGGTGGCATCTGGCTGGGCGTGAGTAGATCTGGTGGACGTAACAGCAAGTGGATGCCTTGGGCCCCATCGCCTAGGTTACCCGAGCCTTCAGATCCAAGGGACGGGGTGGGATCTATGCTGGAGGCACTGTCATGGTGACCTGGGGATGGTGAGGGGTGTTTGGTACCTGGAGGCGTGTGTGCTGGACGCCTGGTCCTTTCAGAGCGATGAGCAGATGAGGATGATGAAGATAAGGCAGGAGGTGAGCGTGTTCTTGCCGGAAGTTGATTGATGCTCCTTCTGGACACGTTGGAAGGTAGCTCCGCTAAAGAAAGAGGAGGATAGGAAAGTTTTGAGCTTGCCGCAGGATGGCACACAACCAAACCACAAGAAATTCAATATTTGCAAACAGCAGAAGGACAGACTGTAAATACACCTCATCCAAACTGTTCAGAGCAAACAATGCAGGAAAAGCCCAGAATTTACCTTAGGCTCTTATTTTTAAACAACACCACTCGCTGGATGAGAATTAAATCAGAAAGAGCTTTATTGGCAGGTATGTTTACACATACTAAGATGTTGTTTTTATGAGTGCATGGAAATGACAGTGACAGTAAAGACCCAAATAATAAAGGTAATAACAATTTTTTTTAAAGAATATACATTTTGACAAATGTATGTACAGTATGTTCTTATAAACAATATTGTATGTATACAGTAGCTATATAATGTGCTAATTAAATGTTAAATTTGTGTGTAAATAAAAAGGTGTATGTGTGTATGAATGGTGTTTGTTCCTCTTACAAATTAAGCCTTGTTTACACCTGTTACCTAGATTTGTTTTGGTCAATCGGACTACAAGTAGTAGATACTTTCTAGCACTTTCCTCATTTTTTTTTACGGCAGGGTCTGTACTATAGGCAGGTGTATTTATGCACTGTTTTTGATCTTATGCTGATCTCATGATGTGAATTAAACTTAAACAATGTACATTTGAACATGAAAGGAAGTTACAATTTATTAAAAATTGTTAAAATAATACAGAGCTGCAGCTTTCATTTCTGATATGATATTTGTAAATCTATGCCATGTGGGTTTGTTTTAGAATCAGGACTAAACATTGTGCTCTTTATATTTGTTCACCCTTAAAGCAAACTTAAATGGATGGTTTCTAAATTTCTGTCGTTATTTATTCAACTTTGAATTGTTCCAAACCTGTTTGAGATATTTTCTTCTTCTGTTGAACAAAGAAGATATTTTGAAGAATGTTGTAAACCAGTAAACATTGAGTTGTATTATCAAATACGCTGACGACACAGTTTTGTTATCCTTGTTAACAAATACAGATTGTAATGACAGCGATAATCATTATGCGTTTTTTAAGTGCTGCAAAGAAGCTGAACTACAACTGAATATCACAAAAAAAGAAAGAGATGGGGATTGATTTTAGAGAAAATGTCTTAGAAGTGAAACCATTTTAACGGAAAACAAGTTGAAAAGGTACAGGAATATAAGTATATTGGTACAATATTTGCTATCACATTAAAGTTCCAGCAAAACTCAGAAGCTGTTGCTAAGAAAGTGCATCAGAGAGAGTATGTTCTTAGAAAACGGAACTCTTTATGTGTAGAAAAACGTATACTGAGAACTTTATATAACACCTGTATCGAGAGTTTATTAAGCTTTTCCTTTTTATGCTGGTTCTCCTCACTTTCCGTTAAAGACAAAAATCGCCTTGAAAACTTAGTCAAGACTTGCTTCAAGATTATCGGTTTACCTCTGAAGAGTCTAGCAGAGTTACACGAACAGCAAATATTAAGGAAAACTCAAAGTGTTATAGGGGACAACTCCCATCCTCTGAAGCCTTTTTTTGTTCTGTTGCCCTATGAAAGAAGGTTAAGAAGCATCAGATGCTCTTCTAACAGATATAAATTCACCTTTGTTCCTCAGGCAATAAGGCTTTAAAACATTACATTTAAGCAGGTTTTAAAAAAATAAATAAATTAATATATATTTCTTTCCTATGTCTTTTTTTGTACTATTTATGAAGTCATTATGAAGCATTCTGGATTTTTAATATTGTTTATAAGTGATCTGTCTCTTTATGTGTTTGTTGTATCATAAAATGCTACTACCCTAATCTAATTGGCTCTGGTGGGATTAATAAAGTTGTTAAACTTAAACTAATTGAGTTATGTTGTATTTGTTTTTTCTTTACTTTGGATGTTACTGGTTTCCAACACTCCTCAAAATATTTCTTTTACAGTTGTTGTTTTGTGTTCAACAGAAGAAAAGAAATCCTAAATTAGGTTGGAATAAGTCAAATCTGAGTAAATGATGACAGAATTTTCATTTTTGGTCGAACTATCTCTAAGCTTTCACCTGGCAAAGTTGAATCCTTTCTTACTAGCATAAATGCATGTAACAATTCATAAAACTTCGTAAAACATATTAATAATTAATAGCATACTAGTATAAAAGTAACAACTGCAATAAAGATCAGGAGCAACCACATATTTAGCACTACAAGATGTTAGTTCAGCCATTTAAAAACCCACAATCTGAATATTGGCATTTACCGCCCTCTAGTGGATAATGTATATACAGTCTGCAATTCTATTTCTTGCACAAAACAATAATTTCCACTCTGAGACACAAATGGCACTGTTACTGTAAAACTATGATCCTATTATGGTTTAGCATGGAGTGAAACGTCAACCGCTAAACTAAAACTCATATCACAAGTCTTGCTGTCGCAGTAAATGTGACACTGTTGACTTTTAAAATGACTGTTTCTTCTCTCAGCCAGCCATAAGGTACCGAGCTGAGCTGTCCTTTTATTAATGTGACCGTGATTCATCGGCATTGTGGGCCACTGTGGGTAGAACAGAGTGTTTGTGGGTAATGAGGCTGATTGAACAGCACGGTGTGAGGGAGCAGGGGAGCACAGGAAAGCTGAGCGACATTAGTAGGCCACTGTGTCAAACTAGCTTAGGACACACAGAGGAAAAGAGAGTGTCAACATCGCATATACCGAAGCAAAGACGGACATTTAACTGAAATCAAAAGCAAACTGAAATCGAACAGCAGCTTCATATGCCATTGATGATGGTATCAGACAGTGCCAGACACAGACAACATGCCCTGTCATGTTTCCTCAGGCCAAATATCATGCTGTTCATCATGTAAGAAACGCTCAGTTGAAAAATAGCAATCCGTCTGTTTGGTGAGTCATAATATGACACAAAATAAATCATATTTCTGGAGTTTACTGCTTGTCATCGAAGAGCACATGTCAATAGCTAATTCTGCATCTGTTTTCTAAGAAGAAAAAGGGGTGATGAACAGCTTATTCAGCCCAGTTCACCTCAATCATCTGACACATTTAGACTCTTTTGAGTTTAATTGTTTAGATATGTTCGTTCTAAAGGCACAGGACATCAACATAACATTAGATTGATGTTGTACCTTAACATCGTGGGAATGTTGTATTTTGCTTGGAAATGAAAATCTGGTTGATGTCGGAACCCAATGTCAGGCCGACGTCAATATCCAATGTCCAGCCTAAAATCAACCAGGAATCTAATGATGTTACAGCTTGACGTTGTGTGGACGTTACCACTATGACTTAGGATATTGGTTGTCTTACCTGATGAATAAATTTCAATAGTTTATGTCTATATGATGTTGGTTTAAGATGTTGGCTATTGGAGTGTCAAAATAACGTTGTCCTTAAATGCTGGCTAGACCTTGAATTTCGGTTACCTCACGTCATGACTTATATGTCTAATATTAACGTCTTATGATGTTGTGTGCCTGTTTGGTCGTCACCTCGCATACAAAAGGAGCATACAACTATTTCTCTTTTTTTATAATGAGATATTTAAATCTTTGCTCAAATAGTCTCAATAAAACTATGCAATTTGGGGGTGCTTATTTAGTTAAGTAATTTATCAATATCTTATTTACCTCTAGATTTCTTCATAACCTTTGACCTAAAACAGTAAAATACCATTGTCATGATCACCAGCGATCTAACCACGAGGATGTTTCTCAATATGCGTTCTTCAGCGGTTCTTGTGTAACCTCATCACCAGCTGCCAAAATTCAGTTCCAATGCTCAAGACCGCAAGAACAGAGGACAAATGAAAGTTCCCGGATGTGTTCTTGATACGGAGGACGCACCGATGCAGGCTTGAGCACCGAGCCCACTCTAGAAGTCCCAGAAGTCATTGCGACTGGAGGTGGGAAGCACAGAATTTTATTTAGATTTAATATTAAAGTTCAGAGATATCACTTATTTACCTCAGGAGTTTCCCTAAATGAAACGGTAAATATAAACATTACCATGGACATCTTAATAAAGGAATAAACACATTGAGGGTGTTTGTTTGCTAAAAGTCGTATTAAAATCTGTTTTTGCAATGCATATTTATGTTTTTAAGCACGGTATATATTTTGAAAAGGGGAAAAACAGTAAGTCGTTGTATGAATGCTGTATTGTTTAAATAATTTTCCATTTAAAACCGGTAAAGGTCACATGACCATCAGGAAGAACGCAGCATCTCATTTCTCAGAGGTCGCATTCTCTGTTCTCGAGCTCTTCCGAGTACATTCTTCCGAGGACACCAGGCAAGACCGGTCTCTAGAAGAATGCAAGTCCATTCTCTGCGTTCTTGGAATTAAGAAACAGCCCTAGAGTTTGCTGGTAAACATTCGCTTTCACACAAACTACCAATCCGCCATATTATGGACTACAGATCCCAGTCATGCAATACACACACCGGTTCCTGATCCTGACTGATTGCAAACACACAGCTGATGCTGCTCAAGTACTGATTACACACACATATATACGACTCACCTAACAGATAATAAGACTTAGCAATGAGTGACTCAAAGTAAGCCGTATATATGTGTGTAATCAGTATTGCTTGATCAGTATGGTGTTTGGACCGTTATTGGTGCCTTCTCTTGTCGATTAGCACAGCACTTGTCTCACTTGCATAAACACAAACCATACTAAAACCTTTTTGCTATGCTGAAACATTTTATATACTAAAATTTGGGGCATACTAAAACAGGACATTTCAGTAATTGGTGGATATTGGTGGGGATATGTCCACTCCGTCCATGCCAATTCTACGCCCTTGCTATGCTCTATAAGGACACTACAGAAGAGCCTTTGTGTCAATACATTTGGCTCCATAAGGATCAATGTGGCGCACACTTTAAAAAAATCATTTCAAAAACTCAAACATCACACGAGTCTCAAATCTTGAACATCCTTCTGGATATGAAGCCGCTGATGTGTGTGTGTTGAAACACTGGGCTGAACCACTCAAGGGAACGACATGCGAAATAACTTCAGTAATTAACTTCAGACTCAGTTAACTGTCAGAGCATCCCAACGGAGAACACAACTTCACACGGGGGAAAGAGAAACCCTGTCTTACACACACACACACACACACACACACACAAGCCACAGTTTCGAGGTGCAGTCCTATGAATGGCGTGGTCAGGCGAGGTGTTTCCATGGTGATGCTGTGTGTTGCAAGTGTGTGTGTGTGTGTGTTGCAGGAGTATGTCACACACACCGTCCGCTTCATCAGTATGCTACAGACGCACGGCGAGAGCACACAGGCATTTCTCACACCGACAGAATGAGCTCACGCGCACACGTACACCGACTCCACTGACACAGATTCCCAAGCATCGAGGAGAAAACGCCATCTATGAATAGCAGCACATTATTACGGACCTAAGTCCACTTAGCTTTGATGTTGCTAAATCCAATCATCAATTGGCAACCATCAGATACCGCAGAGCCACAGAAAAAGAAAGACTGTGTGTGAGAAGGAGACTTCGCTCCTCAATGCAAGATCAATGGCTTTAATGGGGGGCTTGTTGCACCACAGGACACATTTCCATCACAGCTGTGGCTCGCCGGGGTGTGTGACTCCTAATGAACCCCTATCCTTTATGACAGCGAGTGTGTGTGTGTGTGTGTGTGTGTGTGTATGCAGTCGATGAAGCGGTGAGTGTTTGAAACTTGCATCTTATCTTTCAGAGAGTGTTGAGATGCTCTCATCCATCTGTCTGGGTTGTGTGTGTATGGTATAGTGATGTGTAACCAGTGTAAATGTTCACGGTAATCAGCCTGCTGTCAGACGAACACAACCACAGCAGATCTTCAGTTACTGAGCGAGTATCTTAAAAATAAAGGTGACAAAAGGAGGGTTTTCACTGTAATGGGATGCAAGATCCATTTTGGATTGCTCAAAGAATGATTTCCTCAAATCGAGCAACTATTAAAACAACATTTTTTACTTTTTGTAAATATTGTTTTGATAATCTGAAGTATTTTCCAGTGATACTACTTGCCTAAATGCATTGAGTTGCTGCCATGTGAGTGGCTGATTAGAAATTTAAATCAACGGGCAGTTGGACAGCCATACCTAATATTTTATAATGATATAAACATTACAATATATTGTAAAATCATACAATAGTTTTATTGTAGTAATATTTTATATTTTAACTTTTAATTTTTAAAAACAAATCATATACAGTTTTAACAATTTCAACTTAATAAAGTTACTTTATACTTTTCAAGTACATATCTGATGTAAGAAGTTTGGCTAACTAAAATACTGGAAACTCATGAACCTTTATCAACCTTTAATAGCATTTGTGCAATGAAAGTTTTCAATACCATGTAGACTTTTTTTTCTGTGAGACACCAACCATTCATATCTGAATCATCAGCATGCAATTTCAAGGAAATATCAGGCCAAGAACTGGCTCTGTGGGCAGATATGCTTTTCTTGTCCCACACACTTCTCTACACAATTCACTGTGAATCCCATTCATTCTGCAGTTCACACGTCATTCACACAAAGACAGAATCACTCGTACATCCGCCCACTGTTCCTCTGACGCTCAAATCATCAGTGATGAAAAAGACTCCAGGTTTATAATACTGACTCATAAGAAACAGAATAAAAAGTAAAGGAAGTGTCAAAAAGCAAAGGTAGCCCTCTAAAAGCAAGCATGGACCATTTGATGAAATACCTGCATTGTGTGTGCTGAGTGTCACCGTGAAGCCCACCAGCATCACAGCGGCGAGCAGAAACACACAACATCCGAGCAGATGCCGCGGGACCATCCTTGAACTCTCCATTTTCACTTGTTTCTTATTCAGGACAGGCCATCCGACCCTGATAAAATGTCCCCCGGATAGACACAGGTCTTCCTGCTCGGTATCCTTCCTTGTCTGGATGTTACTGCGGGAAACATAATATGTCAGAGAGTAAAGATGAAGCTCACATTGCATTTTTTAAAATCATATGGGAAGAATGAGGCTTCATTATCATCCTCATGGAATCAATCGATCAAACACACACCATGATCAACCAATAATGCACACACGCACACAAACAAATTGACAGTTTTATCTTTAAAAAAAACATGCAATCAGATGTATAGTTACTAAAACATATTAACAATCAATGCAAATTATATATTTTCTAATGATTTATGTAAATAAAAATGTATATTTGAGGGTTTTGTCCATCTATCCACACTTTAAGTTTACATATTTGTATATTATACAGAAATATTTGTCTTACAAGGTTAACACACAGTATTTTGACCATTAAAATCATGTTAATACAAATTATCATATAAAAAAAAGATGATTATGACAAATGACATGTCTCATTTTTATTCAACTATAAATTACATTTAATATTTTGTCCATTTAATATTTTAGTTTTAGCATTTTACATTGATTAGTTCCATTTATTGTCATGTTTTAAATGTTTTGTTTATTTTATACTCATAAGGTCAATTACAACAACAAATTAAAGAATCATCTATCTATCTATCTATCTATCTATCTATCTATCTATCTATCTATCTATCTATCTATCTATCTATCTATCTATCTAATTTATCTGTCTGTCTATCTGTCTGTCTATCTCGCATCCATCATCCCCAGCATGTTGATTTCATTTGTACTCAAAGCCTTGCAAACATACAATGCCACAAAGTCAGCTTACACAGTGTGGGAATGTAGGTTATAATAAAGAGAGATCGCGGGCACGCGCGGCCCAAGGCTCCCGTAAGGTTAATATCGCGCGCATCATGTCAGACAGGTATAAAGATAACGGGTATGATCTAAGGCAGATAAATAGCGGTACAGATGGAAAAGGGCGGGTGTAGGAACCAACCAAGCGCATGCACTGTGTCAATGAGAGAAAAAACAGCATCTGCGGATGCAAACACCAGCGAGCTCTTTCTAAATCCACAGATTATATGTCACATATTTAATTTATGCGTATATGCAAGTATACTAAAGGTGATTGGCGTTTTCTTTACCTGTCATGTTGAGATGCACACCTCGCGCGGATGCGGCTCGCGAGCGCGCGCCCCTTTTACACACCCGATATCATGATGACAGAACGGCCATAAATCCAGAATATCGATGTTATCACTCAAATCAGATTATACATATCATAAATTGACGCTGCCAGCTCCTGGTATGGACGGTATCCAGTTCGTGGGTTGTTTTCCGGTAATTGTGCAGAAGCGGTTATAACGGTCTTGCTTATCCCATGCACGGCCCATTTCCCAGGATCCGATCCCCTACAAACGCGCTGGACAAATCGCACCGCTTAAGTAAATATGTGAGCCGCTTCTAAACGATATCGTTGGCAGCGCATGTCCATTTCTCCAGCAGAAAACACTCCAGCGGGGAGAAATACGCCTTATCGATATCTGCGGCGCTCGGCGTGAAGACCCGCCCCTTGGATTTATTCATAAGAAACGTATAGAATACATGAGCAACTGTCATTGGCTGTCAACGGCATCTCGTAGCAACACACACACGCGCATATCATTTCAGTTTGTACTCTGGGCATATATTACTGTACATCATTTTGTAGTACTATTTCAGATTGTTTTAGTATTTCTAGCATGAGGTTCTTCCTTTTTTGGCTTAAATAACTGTCTAATATCTTAAAGGGATAGTTGACCCAAAAACAATGCAAGATGTGGGTGAATTTCTTTCTTCTGCAAAATGTTGTAGCAGATTGTTTTAAACAAAACCCTCATGCTTTATGATTTAAAAATGTAAGTCAATGGTCATTTTGAGAGTCCAAAAATCACATACAGGTGAAACAAAATGAATAACGGTGGCTTCTGGGTCCAATAAAAAACATAAATAAATAAATAACTGGATTAAATTGGTCCAGATTAGGAAATCCCATGTTTTGCTATGCAGGATTAACTAATCTATCTTACTTTTATGACAACAACACTAAGGTCAGCTAAATACCACCGGCCACGAACAGCCACTGTTTGTTTTAATGGTAAGACACAGAAACACTGCAATCAATAAACATTTTACTGTTTTTAGTTAGTTGTAACATACTGCGTTGATATTGTTTTGTTGTTCACCATATCTCATTAGATGTGACATCCATCATATAGGCTTCAGATATTAATTAATTTATATATCATCACATAAAAAACTAAACTTTTTTAATTTTATTTGGTTAAAAAAAATAACAACTGAATCCACCCTTTTGATGGGATCAGGATAATCCTGTTTTTTAGATCAGATAGATCGCATTCTGAGTTCAAAGTCAATAACCCAAAGGGCAGGTTTGATCTAAATCAAATGTAAGATTGGATTACGTGATCTGATCTTAATTCAAAATCCCTCTGTTTCTTTTGAAAAACCCATTTTCAACATTTTATCAAATCCAAGATCCAAAATCCCACGGGATTACTCTTGAAAAACGGGGCTCTGTGATACAATTTGTTTTGTTGAAGAAAAATTATTGTTCTGTGCAAAGAAACTGAACATTTTGCGTTACAAATATATTATTAAAAGCTGGTCTCCCCAAATGATCAAGACAAGGTTTCAGTCTCGATATGTAAAACTATAGTAAATATCAATATGACCCCCCCACCCCCATCCCCCACCTCCCGATATGATGATTGACTCAAAGTTGTGCAAACTAGAAGTTGCGGAGACTTTTATTCCAGTAGGTTGATAATTTTTCAATTTTAATGAAAGACTGAAAAGTGGGCCGTGCCTTCTTTTTGAGCATCATTCCCTTGTTGCAAAGCAATCGTCAGAAGCACGTGGTTTAGAATGGTGGTTTGTTTTTGAAGCCATTACATCTGATGTCAGAGAAGAGCCGCCACTCCAAACAAACCCTGCAGAAAAAAACTACTTAAAACTGCCTAGGCTGGTTGGCTGGTTTTAGCTGGTCAACCAGTTTCATTTTGGAGGGGTTTTGGCCATTTCCAACCTGGTCGTATAGCTGGCCAGGCTTGGAGCCCAGCCAAAACCAGCTATGCCCAACTTAAACCAGGCTGGTCAAGCTGGTTTTAGCTGGTCATTTCCCAGCTTGACCAGCTAAGACCAGGCTGGAAATGGCTAGAAACCTGGGCCAAAATCTGTCTATAACCAGGCTAAGCTGTTTTTTTCAGCAGGGAAGGGTCCAGTTTTGATTGAAGATTACCAAAACAAACATTTCAGTGGATTAGCTTGCACTAATTAATAGTTCACCTAAAGTATAACAATGTGCACTAGCAGAATAAAGGTAAATTTTGATTTCACACTGACTGTAAAATAATAATATGGGCTATGTACCATTTTCTCTGAGTTTAGAGACTCAGCAAAAGGATATAATGTTAGATAGATAATATGTGGTGGCTCAGTGGCTAGCACTGTCCCCTCACAGCAAGAAGGTCGCTGGTTTAAGTCCGAGCTGGGCCAGTTGGCATTTCTGAGTTTGAATGTTCTCCCCATGTTTATGTTCCGGTTTCTCCCCCAGTCCAAAGACATGCGCTATAGGGGAATTGAATGAACTAAATTGGCTGTAGTGTCTGAATGAGTGTGTATGGGTGTTTCCCATTACTGGGTTGCAGCTGGAAGGGCATCCGCTGTGTACAACATATCCTAGGTAAAGTGGCGCTGTGGCGACCCCTGATGAATGAAGGCACTAAGCCGAAGGAAAATGAATGAATGAAAGATAGATACTACAAAAAATACACATATATTACTGAATTATTATCATATACTATATTGGGTGCCTCTAGCCCCCCAAGAAAAATCGCGATTTTGTCCGATTACATCTATGCTTGCACACCTATTTATTTTTTATTTTTTTTACAGAAAACAGAATAGGAAAGAAATGTGTTTATTGTCCAATACATGATTTGTAAAAAGACCTCATGAGCTGATCCACATCAACCCAAAAAGATACCACGTTCACTGTAGGTAAATCCAGGCATGAAAAACCCACAGTAAAACCACACTGAAGTCACAGTATATACATATGTCCATTGGAGGGTAAAATAATGAGACATTTGAGCTAAAAGATAGAAATAGATGCAGCCACGTTTTCTGATGGTTAAAAATGATGGAAGGAATATAGTTGACTAATACCCAAAGCAACTGCACGTTCCTTACTATATCCATACAGTTTGTGAGAGTTAAATGGCAAGAAATGAATGCAGTAACTCATAATTTGAATGTCTGTGCTCAGGTGTGTGAGCATAAAGTGTGTTGTGTGTTTGTTCTGTCACTGGGCAGCTTTACTTTCCACCTCACTGATAGACACAAAGCGTGGTCGTCTCCGCACCCTTCTCTTTGTGTTGTGTTTGGGGTTCCTCTGATACATATCTGTAAAAAATAATATGTCAAATTATTGAATCTAATATCAAATAATTGAATGTGAAATAAAATAAATAAATGTCAAATATTTTATTATAATATCATAAATTAGTACTGGGCTAAGATTAACATGACACAATATATACTATACTATACTATACTATAATATAATGTAATATAATATAATAACACAATTTTATATAATATAATAATATAATAACACAATTCTTATATGATATAATATAATATTAATATAATATAATATAACACAATTTATATATATATATATATATATATATATATATATATATATATATATATATATATATATATATATATATATATATATATATATATATATATATATATATATATATATATATATATATATATATATATATATATATATATATATATATATATATATATATATATATATATATATATGTATGTATATATAAATTGTGTTATATTATATTATATTTACATTTATATTTATAATATAATATAATATAATATAATATAATATAATATAATATAATATAATATAATATAATATATAAGCCCTGTTCTACGTATAGTGAAAGTGAATATGTGTAATACCTTGGAAACTGACATAGTAATGCCTATTGCCTTTTATGACAGTAACTTCTGCATTATTGTCCTCTTGAAAAGATTTCTCCAGCTCTCTGGATGTGACAGAAGTGGCACGTTGCTTGTCATCCTAAGGAAAAACAGTATTGAGACAAAAACCATAATCATGATAGAGCCAGGAAATGATTTAAGGATCCACATGAACTGGAAGCTGCGACTATTTTTTTCCGTATTGTGATTTAGCTCCTAGAGAAATGGAATATTAAATGAGAAAACTGTGCCACGTGAGTGAGGCTTGTTTTTTCTACTGCAAGATGATTAGATGTAGTTAAGTGAGCATTTCATTTCGAAAGATCTGGAAAAGAGTTTGGGGAGAGTTATTACAACCTATCAAACACCTCCTACTCACCATTTCTGTTTGTTGTCACTGACAGTTAGTGGGGTGTGGTTAAGTATGTTAGCCACGCCCAATGTCTCAGACAGACGTAATGTGAGGATTTAAACAGAAAGTGTATTTTCAAATTTCAATTAAAGATTACAAGGCCAAACTATTTTTCTAAATGTGAAGCTATGTGAGCTAACAAAATCAAAATGGATAGTTTTAATTTCATTTGTACTGTAATAAAACTCCCACTCTGTGTGTGTATAAGAAAGGTGTACTGTGTACTACAAGACTGACCTATGGAAGACTAAGTTAAGGGATAACGTGTATTCGGAGAGTATGTCCGCTATGTTTGCTACTCAGTCTCACCGGATGACCGTACTCTATCCAGTTTTCATGATCTCCTTTGTAGTACCAAATCCACTGGGTTGTCAAGAAATAGTGGGCGGGTTTGGAGACTGAGGAGACTGTAGAAAGCCGGCGCACAGGGTCACCGTTCTTGGTCATGGACACAAAATTCACTGGCCTTGAGCCTGGACTGAATCCAAAAGAAAAGTTCAGTAAGTACTTTAGGGTGAGCAATAAAAGGGGAAAAGGGAAGAGATTGAGAAATAAACAAAAAGGTTCATGTTTACTGTGCTGCCTTTCATTTTTTATATACAGTTGAAGAATTAGTAGCCCTTCTGAAATATTAGCCCCCCTGTATGTTTTTTCCCCAATTTCTGTTTAACAGAGAAGAGTCTTTTTTAACACATTTCTAAACATAATAGTTTTAATAACTCAGTTCTAATAACTGATTTATTTTATCTTTGCCATGATGACAGTACATAATATCTGACTAGATATTTTTATAGATGCTAGTATTCAGCTTAAAGTGCAATTAAAGCCTTAACTAGGTTAATAAGGCAAGTCATTGTTTAACAGTGGTTTGTTCTGTAGACAATCAAAAAAAAATTTGCTTAAGAGGGCTAACAATATTGATCTTAATATGATTTAAAAAAAATTATAAACTGCTTTTATTCTAGCCTATATAAAATAAATAAGACTTTCTTAAGAAGAAAAAATATTATAGGAAATACTGTGAAATAATCTTTGCTTTGTTAAATTTAATTTGGGAAATATTTTAAAAAAAGGAAAAAAAATTCACAGCAGGGGAATAATTCTGACCCAAACTGTTTATAGTTTTGAAAACAAAATACAGAAACTATTAAACAAAGACAATAAAAATACAACTATTTAACTTTCACCAATTGTAATATCAAATTAAAATGATTTAAAATGAATAAAATCAACAGATACTCTTTAAGCACTACAAAGAAACAATATACAACCATCACCAATAAAAAAGAGAGGATATTGAAACATAAACAAGATGTTTACTGTACATAGCCTATCATATTTTTTTATTATTTGGTTTTGTAATATAAAATACAGATCTACACTCATGTGTTTCTCATGGTCAACTATAATCATAACTCCACACTGCGTATCCTGTGATGTGACTATAGCTATATTAAAAAAATATATATAACTATATAAAAAAATAAAACCATTAAACTCATTAAAATATCAAATTAAATTAAAATGAATAAAACCAACAGAAACTCTTCAAACACTTTAAACAAACAATGTACAATCATCACCAATAAAAAAAGAGAGGATATCGAGAAATAAACAGGACTTTTTTTTTGTTTACTGTTTATAGCCAATCAATCTTTTGTTTATTTTGGAAAATAAATACAGAACTGATTTTTTTTTTTTTAAAGCAATGAAAATAAATATTAAACGATTCAGAACAGAAGCTCCTAACACAATGCAAACAAACAATATTCAAGCATCACCAATAAGAATAAATTAAATCTAAATAAATGTAACTAAAAAAGAAATTATTTTAAGAAATGGTTTTAAAAGGCAATAAAATAAAGATACAACAGCAAAACAGCATCTCTCCATTACATTAAGATAAACAATAAATATCTTCATTCAAAAAACACCACCAATAAAATAACATAAACTGAAAACAGAGATGCAGTTAAATCAAACACATACATGTGCATTTACACTGACCTGTATTCATTCTTTGGGTCACAATAAGCTCTCTCTATGTCCTCCATATTTCTTAATTCCCTCCAGCCTTTCCCATCGTAAAGCTCCCACTTATATGGAAGATTAAAGTGGACAAGAACGCACTGGTCTGAAGTGATAAAAAACCCATTAGAACTCATGTTAAAGACAACAAGATTAACCAGAGATAGCCTGGATGACATGGACACCAACCCTGAAACTTGCACTTCCGTCTTATAAAGTGGAGACAGATTTCATTCTTCTCCATCTGAGCGACCGGTTTGATGCCTTGATCAGATATCAGTTCTGAAATGTGTAAGAATATACAGCTGAAGTCAGAATTATTAGCCCTCCTGAATGATCATGAAAAAGAAATTACAGGAGAGCTACTAATTTTGACCTTAACTTTATATGTTTAATAAACTAACATGATGATACATGTAAATTATTACCTTTACGCACTTACCACTGCTTTGAGGTTGCGAATTCAGCCGATACACATTCTGGTAGATGTAAGGCAGTTCACGGATGATGTCACCACTGAGCCCACGTTCTTCCAGCATCCTGCGGCTGTACCCGTCGATGCTGTGTTGCCGTTTGCACTTGGGCCCGAACAGGCAGGTATCGTGCACAAAGTGCTGACAAATGTGCACTTTAGTGCAGCGCTCCATAAAGGTACAGGCCCCGAAAACACCCGTGCCTTTATTATAGTGAGCACACACCTGCGCACATACAGCACCAGGTAGATTCTTTAAACATCAGAGTGATACATGCTGCATTTACAATATTTAAAAACACACATGCATTCATTAATAAATGAAGGGGGCATTTTATGCTTTTTACACTTAACTGCATCACGAATGTAATGGAAAAAGATACAGCGGCATTGGTGAGCACTGTGGCCTCACAGCAAGAAGGTTGCTGGTTTCTCTTTACTTTAAACTTCCCCCTTGATCATACTCTAGAACTTTCTTTAGGGAACATGCATGTCTAAATAGATCAACCGACATTATGCAAATGTTTGTGTTTTGTTTTTTTAAAGATTTATTTTTGGGCTTTTTGCCTTTATTAGATAGGAAAGTATTGAGACAGGAAGCGCAGTGGGAGAGAGAGAGAGGGGGTAGGGTAGGGAAATATTCAAACTCGCAACACCCTGACGTGCTATTGCACCATATGTCTGCGCGCTAACCACTAGTCTATTGCGCCGACATGTTTGTGTTTTTGTTTGCTTAAGACATAACCTATGCATCAAAATACAGTACAATATTGGCTTCTATTATTCATTCATTCATTCATTTTCTTTTCGGCTTAGTCCCTTTATTTATCTGGGGTCGCCACAGCGGAATGAACCGCCTATTGGCTTCTATAGTTCAGGATTTCTTTAAGCAAATATGAAACAGCTGTGTAGTTAGTGCGTTGGTTCTTGCTGCCACTATATTCATCACTTCAATATTCAAAGTAATTCTAAAACATTTATCGGCAAACCTCTCCTTTTGTGTCTCTTCTTCTGTCCACATTCCATAGCATGTTAGGCCTTTTCCTTTAAGAGTGTAATAGAAAAAAAGTTACAGAAGTTTCTTTCTCAGTACCTTAACCTCCATTCAAATGTCTTGATCATACTCCAGAGCTTTCTTTTAGAAACATTCATGTCTAAGTAAATCAACCAACATCAAGCAAATGTTTGTGTCTCGTGTGCTTTAGGCATAAGCTTGTGTGTAATACTTTAATACTTTCATGTTTGGCTTTCTGTGCATGCACTTAATTTTAAACCTTTGTACACTGAAAAAAAAATGTTTATTGTTTAAACTCTTAAGGCTTTAAAATGCATGCAGAAGATTTATTTGTTGTTGCCAGTGTGCATCCAATATTATATAATAATGCAATACTACTACATTGCTAGTATTACATTTTTGTAAAAAGCATAATATGACCCCTTTAAGGTAAATTCTTTACACATTCAATGAAACTTCTCAATGTAACCAGTGCATCACAGAGCTCAGCAAAACATTTTACTTTACCTCTTTACAGGACACTCTCCTTTTTTTTCTTTCTTTTTTTTTTTTTTTTTTTTTTTCAAACTTTTGACACCTGAAGATCTTAGAACCATCATCAGCAACTCTTCGTCTTGAATAAGGCCACAATTCTTCTCAATTCTTTTTCATACATTAACATACTGACAGGACCGCTGATGAAACAGAACTTCACTTGGACGGTTTACTGGTTGACCCTTTCTTTCCTTTGTTTCTCTTTTAAAAAATCTATTTTAATTGGTGGTATTGCACAGATTGCTTCTTATCCGGGATATAACACTACAAAAAATTCTTGGTGTTTTCTGGTTGACCAAATGTATACTCGAATATTCGATTACTTCAAAACTTGTGACGCTGTTTTTTTGGGTGTAACCAAGCAGCTGATTTTTGCATGCCAAAACAAACATATGAGCGGTTACGTGAACTCTGATCTACTCTGAACGCATCTGAAAGGAGATTGGTGTTTCAAACGGCAGGACAGGTACCTGGAATGCAGAAATATCCCAATCATAGCATGAGTTCGGCTTTGGGCAGGAATTCTCTCAAGAGAAAGGAGTCCAAAAACATTTAGGTGACTAAATTAGCCTTCCTGTTTGCATTTCCTCACCTCTGGCAGCAGGGCGGGATCGTTTTGGAGTAGAAGCAGGAAAAGATCGTCCTCGTTCAGTTCATGAAGCGTACACTCGCGCAGCAGGGGATAGTTATGCTGTGACTGGATGTTATGAGAGAATTTACACTCCTTCCTGATTAACACAAACACAAAATGTATGGAATGATGTTTGGTTAACAAAGAGAAACTGAACATTAACACTCTGACGCTGTAAAAAGCAATTAGTTTGCTTTACTTAAGGAAAGTGAGTAAACGCATTGCTTTTAAAGCGATCAGTTGGCTTTACTTAAAAAAGTGAGGTAACTCATTGCCTTAAATCTATAAAGAAAATGAATTATGAACATAATTATAAAATTCAAGTTAAGTCTTAACCCAGTGATGGCCAAACTCGGTCCTGGAAGGCCGGTGTCCTGCAGATTTTAGCTCCAACATGCCTCAACACACCCGCATGGATGTTTCTAGAAAGGCTATAGCTTGATTAGCTAGCCCAGGATTGTCTGATTGGGACTGGAACTAACCTTTGTAGGACACCGGCCCTCCAGGACCAAGTTTGCGCACCCCTGTCTTAACCATTCCAAATGGCAATGGATTTACTCACTTTTTAGAGTAAAGTCAACTTGTTGTTTTTAAGACAATAGGTTTATTTGTTTTTATGCAGATTTGATGTATTTTTAACCAATCTATCATTATATTTCATACTACCATTAAAAATATGAAGCATTTTTTATTATTATTATTAGTCTAATTATGTTGAAAAATACATATATTTAAATTGCAATGTTGTGTGTTATTATTGATGTTAATGACATAGTATTATTATTAATGCATTATGTTGTAATAATAATCTGTTACATAAAATGAAACCTAATACTGATTGTAATAAATAAAAAATGAACAAACGTTGACCATTTGCCAGGTTAAACTCTATCATGTTTGTTATATCAATCTAAAATGTGGAAAAATAAAAGTTTGAATGCATGTTTATGAGTGTTCAAAAAAACAAATAAACAAAAATAAGACAAGTAATCATAAAAATATGCTACACAAAATGATCAATGGGTCGAACAGAACCTACAATAATGAATTGACATTATTAATTTCAATAAATTAATACTAATAACTAAATAACAATTTTATTTTGCATTTAAGGGAAAGATCGGCCAAGAACTGAACATTCTTTCATCATTCACAGCTATTTGACTTCCTTTTCATGCTTTCAAAGGAGAAACAAGTAATCTCATTACCTTAAAATGATTAAGTAAACAAATTATATGCATAATTATAAAACTTAAAATCAATTTAACCGTTCCAAGTTTCAATAGATTTACTCACTTTTTAAAGTAGTCAAACTGCGTTTTAAAGTGTATGCTATATAATATGCAGATTTTTTGTATTTTTAAACAATCAATCATTATATTTTATATCCCCATAGAAAATATGAAGCATTTAAGCATTTTTTTATTATAATGAAAAAGTATTATTATTAATGAATAATGCTGTAATAATAATCAGTTATGTACAATTATATTGATTGTAATAATTTAAAAATGATTAATTGTTGGCCAAGTTAAATTCAATCATATTTGTTATACTATCAGTCTGAAATGTGGAAAAATACATTTAAAAAGTGCATCAAAATATTTGAATGCATGTTTATAAGCGTTTAAAAAAACAAATAAACAAAAGCAAAGAAGGCCAAGTAATCATAAAACTATACTACACAAAATGATCAATGGGTTAAACAGAACCTACAATAATAAATTGACATCATTAATTTCAATAAATTAATACTTATAACTGAATAACAATTTTATTTTGCATTTAAGGGATAGTTCTCCCAAAAACTGAACTTTTTTTCATCATTTACTCACTTTCCCAAGCTATTTGAGTTTCTTTTTATGTTTTCAAAGGAAGATACTCTGAAGAATTGGGAAAAACAAAGCGGTTTATTGACTTCCACAGCTCAGTGTGAGTAAATGGTGAGGACATTGTCATTTGGTGAACTTTCCCTTTAACGCATGTGTATTTTATGTATAAACTACATCATTAACATTTTATTAATTACCATATATTTTTATTTTTCACTAACATGACAGGAAAATCTTACATTAAAGAGATACCGCTTAAAAATGTTCTCTCAAACTTACCTTCCTTTTCCATATCTGCAGTTCCCGTAGACAAAATACTTGCAGAGGTGCAAGTCTTGGCACTCGTAACATTCATTCTTGGAATATTTCTTGCAGAGTCTCAGAGATGTCTTGGCGACAACTGTGCAGTCTGATTCTGCATCCTCCTCTCCGGGTCTGCTCTGGACCATAACGAAGCGGGCGCATTTCTTGACGATGTACCAAAAATCTGCTTCGCTGATCTCAAAACGCTGGAAGACCCTCCGGTGCAGCTGGGACATTTCCATGGAGCCTTTATTGCTGCATAATATGCTGGTCGCATAATGTATGACCCGAGTGCAGTCCGACATATCGGACATAGAGATGAGAGCCTCGGGTGGGCTCCAGTCTGACTGTACTTCGATGTTTTTGAGTCTTCGTTTCTACATAAATGAAAGCGGAAACTGCAATAACGTAGTGCTAAGATTCGGTACCAAGTTTCCAGTGCCAATCATTTTCAAAATAAAAGTCTCGTGAAAACAACTATGACGGACAGACTATGGAGCCAGATCAGTCTCAAAAACAATACATTTGCGTTTATAAAATTCATAAATGCACAGCACTATTCATAAATCCACAACTCCTCCAAAAAAAGATTTGTATCGAATCATGTCCTGCCAGAAAGGTCTTAAAAATACCCCACACAAATTTAAAGGACTCCATATTCTTGGGAGCACTTTCCAATGCACATTCAGGGGTTCATAAATACATCTAACATGTTCACAAATGCATGAGGAAAGTAACCCAAGAACCATTTTAATCCATTTTAAATGTTTTTAAGATATGTGTGAGCGTTTGGGAAATATTTTTGCTTTTTACATTTGAATAGGGTATTTGCTCATCTACTGTTTTCTTCCCATACCAATAAACTTCCGGTGAACGGTTAATGTGACTTTTTAAAATTTTATACAATTCCTTTTACAGCATCGATGTTGTAATGTAATTAAAATATGATCAGTTCAATAGACTTCAGCATTCATTTAGTTGTCGAAGCGTAAACCGAGATGAAAAGCCATTTACATGCATGCTCCTGTCAGTATCAGCAGGCTACTGCAGAAACACAGCTGAAAATACTGGAGCAAAATGAATGTTCATATTTTAAAGACATGGCACGAGAAAATGTAATTTAATGTAATGCTTCTTGTACAATCTGAGACCCACTTTATATCGTATATCTATCAGGCAGTGGAGATCATTGATTCGTAAGGAAAACAGACCTTAAACGTGCAGATTTTGTAACTGCAAACAGTTAATTGACCCAGATTACTGCAAAATTAAAAGTCCTTCTGCATACTTCTGCATATACCCTATTGATGAATTTATGAATTAAAGTTGTGGATTTATGAATTGTGTTTTTACTTTACTAATTTTATGAATACAAATGTATCATTTTTGCGACTGTTCTGACTCCATAACAGACAAACAGGCAGATATATTTACTTTTTTTCTGCCACTTTCATTTTGTTTATAATATGTTTATTAATTTTATATGTATTAATTATACTTAATGTAACAATAAATCTAAGTGTTATAAATACAAACAAGTGTTATGAACACAAGACCTATTTTAATACGAATAACACTGAGTTAAAAACAATAATAATGGGTTATGTAGGATGTATAGTTAATACCGCAAGTAGCTCAATTACAGCTAAAAATAGATCTCTGGCTATTTTGAATAGAATATAACAGAATAGAATAGAATAAGATAGAATAGAACAGAATAGAATAACATAGAATAGAATTAGATAGAATAGAACAGAGTAATAGAATAGAGCAGAATAAGATAAAATAGAATAAGATAGAATATAACAGAATATAATAAGACAGAATATAATATAATATCATTTAATAGAATAGAATAAGATGGAATAGAATAAGATAGAGTAGAATAAGACAGAATGGAATAGAATAGAGTAATAGAATAGAATAGAATAGAATAGAATAGAATAGAATAGAATAGAATAGAATAGAATAGAATAGAATAGAATCTGCTCTGATCATGTGACAGATTTTTGATATACTGTAAGTTAGTGTTTTAATCTATTGGTTCAGTGCTTTTAGATGAGCTTCCTCCTGCATAATGCATTTGCCGGGGAAACCTGTTCAGTTGATCTAGTAACAGACAGACGTCGATCTAACCAACCAGCCTTTCCTTTTTGGGGTAGAGTATTAATGTCACTCTGTAGCCCAAATACAGAGACCCGTGACGCCGTCCATGACCTTTTCGGAGTTTCACCCTGCTTGCAAGACAAAGCTGTTTCTGCAGAGTAGCTCCTGTTGAGTTTTGGAGTAATATGTGGCTTGTAGTAATACGATGCCTGTTGTTGTCCACTATTTGATTTCTTACCCGGTGACCACTTATTCTGTCCAATGACATCATGTTTTGAAACCCTATTGAAAATAAATAAATAACTATCTGTGTAGTCAATTATAACACAAGACTGTAATACAAATGAGCTCACTTCACAAAGCCTTTCGTCACTAGATGTTCAGAGCCCTGGAGTTGAATCTGTGTGTCTGCAGCTCTCTGAAGAAGATCCAGACCTTCTCTCCTCTCCATTGTACTGCAGCTACATAACAACAATTTACCTGTATATTACAGACAGACAATACATCAACCATCTGTCATAAACAAGATATTTATTATGATCATGTGATGCTTAGATAAAGATGAGAATTTATGCCACTTGCTTTGCAAAACACAAGCAAAAACATGTCTTGAGAGTTGTGTTTCTAGAATTTCTACATACCGCTAGCTTGTTCTTTGCCATTGTTAGCATGTTTCAATCACATTGTTAACATGTTTCTAACATGGTTGACCACACTGCTAGTATGCTTAATCATGTTTTAGCATGTGTCCAGCATGTTTAAACAGCTTCTAACATGATTTAACACACCACCGCATGTGATGGCATGTTTTAGCATGTTGTTAGCCTGATTCTAACATGATTTAGCACACTATTAACATGTTTATTGCATGATATAACATAATGCTAGCATGTTTAAACACAACACGCTTTCATAAACGGTTTGTATGTTTCAAACATATTGATTTAATAAACCACTAAGGATGTGTTAGCATGTTTTTAGCATGTTGTTAGCCTGAATCTAACATGATTTAGCACACTGCTAAAATGTTTCTTGCATGATTTAACACACTGCTTGTGTGTTTTAACTCAGCACATTTTCATATACTGTTTGCATGTTTCCAACATGATTTAACAAACCTCTAAGCATGTATTGGCATGTTTCTAGCATGTTATAAGCATGAATCATACATGATTTAGCACACTGTTAACATGTTTATAGTATGATTTAACATAATACTAGCGTGTTCTAACATTTCATACACAGTATGTTTCTAGCATGATTTAACACCACTAAGCATGTGTCGGCAGGTTTCTAGCATGTTGTTAACATGATTCTATCATTACTTAGCATACAGACAGCTTCAACACACTGCTAACACATTTTTTGGCTTGCATGTTTTAAGAATCCTGTACTAATATTTCACAATATTGCTGTTTTTACTGTATGTTTGATCAAATAAATGCAGCTTTGGTTATAATAAAAACTAAATAAGAGCTGAAAACATTTGAAAAAAGAAATTATTGCAAACTTGCAGACGGGAATGGCTCCAGCTGCTGACTGACAGTGCTGCATTGGATCAGTGGTTCTCTGCACACTTTCTAAAGTATTGATTTATCTCCATGCTCTTTTGAGTGGGTTCAAAGCTTTGAAGATTCTCCGAAACCAAGGCCTGAGCAGAGCCAACTCTGAAGGCCAATTCTTTGTCACTTACCAAGCTTCATAAGAACTACAGCAAGGCTGTGATGCAGAACGGGAAGCTGCAGTGTCAGAGCCTCAGTCTCTTTAGAGCTTATAACATGGCGGTAGAATTCAACCATCCTCCTCCGTGTCCATCTAAAAGCAAATCAAGCCATTGATCTTGAATTCAAATGATGCGATCTTAAGGTTTAACAACAGATTAAGGTTACTACAAAAACTGTAAGCACAGAACAGACATCTTTCTCTTACTCTGTGTTAGTTTGATTGTTGGCCCAGAGATCTGCAAGCAGCTCCTCCACTTCTGCTACCAGAGGATGATCTTGCCCGTACCAGCGTCTCCTGCTTTTCAGAGCAGACTCCAAACACCTTTCCGCATTCTTGAGCTCACCAAAACTCAACCTTTACAAAAAATTAATAATGCAAATGTGCATTATTTCCATACTTTTAATTGAGAATTTTTAAACCTGTATGGATGCAGATGTAGCATTATAAAATAATTTAGATGTTATTTCATATGTTTATTTACATTATCATATTTACTTTTTACAGTATATATACTTTAAATTAATTCATAACTGACACTATGCTGTGTGTTTTTTAGTTCCTAACGCTGTACAAATGCTGGGCTCCACGCAATTCCTTCATGTTGTACCAACTTAAACTAATGTGAGTGGACTGAACACAAAATAATTAAGTTATTATAATAATTAAAAAAAACTCAAGAACAGCGTTAACTTAGTTCATTTTAAATTAGTTGTTTAAACAAGCAGCAAATTAATTTTTGAGTGAAAAAAATGAAGAAAAAAACATGTTCAACAATTAATTAAAAATGTAATGTATTTTTTAACTTAATTTAATATTAGATTTAATTTTACATGTAATTAGAAATTTATTAATTAATATAATAATATTTAATTACATTTTTGGTTTATTTAAATTTTAATAAAAGTAATAAAAAATTTCTTAAAATTATTTTTCATTACATTTTTAATAACATTTCTAATTTAATTTATAAATTAATATATTTTTTATTTAATTTATAATTTAATTAAATTTATTTAATTTATAAATTAATAAAAAATTATAATTTTTAAAATTTAATTTAATGTAATTTTTGTCATTAGTCATTCAGTCATAATGGTTTCGTTTAATATAAATACATTTTATTCAATTTAGAGTGAAAACATTTTTTTATTACACTAATTTTTTACCTACTTGTGAATGGCCTTCAGAATCATTACAGTGCCTTCAGCACATGGATGGGCAGACGTGTATCTGGCAGAGCGGATCTCTCTAAAAAGCTCTGGCACTGCAAACAGTCGTCCTTCCTCCAGCAGCGCCATACACAGACGACAAAGCAGCTGTCCTGTGGGAGCAGATTCATCCTACATGTGTTCAAATTTTCCCTTGCCAAAAAAATAACTTTCCTTATCAGTTTATAAAAGTCACACGCATGCAAGATGAAATATGAAATGCACGTTAGTACCAACTATGAGTTTGACCTCTACGCTGTCGAGATGTGCTTCGGTAAGAGACCTGGCTGTCTCAAGTCCCTTGTGGCAAAACATCTCTATGTCTTTCGGCAGATGCATTTGGACGTAAAGCTCTGCCATCATATGTTGCACGTTGAGCTGCAACCT